TTGGGAAAAATCCGTTATGCGAAGCGTCTGCTGCTGACCAGGGTGCCAAACAATTTACACATATCATGCACAATCCAAGAAGTCTTTGATGTCCAAGGTAATTCCGCCATTTTCATCAACAGCCGCCACATTGGCCGCCACTTTGGCGGCTGTTGGTGAAAATGGCGGAATTACCTTGGAATTAATGCCAGGTTTATTTCAAGAATTCTGCGAGAAAAACTGGGCTACAACAAAATATATATATCTTATCTGCAGGAATAAGGGCGCCTCATTTTTTGAGTGGAGAGCAAAACTCTGCCAGGGTGAATTTTGCAGAACATTCAAAAAGATTTGTCAAACAGGGCTGATGATTTTTTGTGTGCCAAAGAATATGTTTTCCTTAAAGAATAATTTCAGTTTAATTATATGCCATTTTAATTTATATTCCGAGAACTTTTGTTAGGACCATCGTATACCCAACAATTTTATAAGAGAGGTTCTAAATACAAAAATGTTCGCCTTTTACAAGTACGTGAGATCTTAGAACCACAAATTGTTTATGCCTATGAAAACTTAAGCATGTGATTGAAGCATGAGCATACGTTCCCAGTTATTCATATGAATACAAAAATAATCGTCGGCATTCATAAAACTACAATACTCAATCAGCCCAAAGAAAAATTGTACGTAAAGTGTCATCAGCGTCAATCAATGATGTATATTAGTTTGATTGGGTCAGATCCCACTGAATTTTTCTGTGAAGAAGCACGAGTCTTTTTGCAAACGATTATCAAAATGATAAAACAATTGTAGCGCCTCTCGATAACTATAAAGCACACAAAAATTTCGATTTTTCCGAGTCTCGATGGACCAAACACTGAATTCAACCAACGAAGCCCCAACTTTCGGGCGATTTTTTTTATTTTTGCACCTGGAGTCACTGGACTTCCATGGACCCAAATACTTTTTTTTTACCTAAGATTTTTCATTAGTTTCGTTTAAAATACGTATGGTTAAATCCCCGATCCCATCAGGAAATGTTGCCAACATTTCCTGAAATGTTTCCAGAATTGTTTGTTCTTTCATCTATGATCTTCATTATCTATACGGAAGCATTCAGTCCGTAACACAGACGATCTTCGTCCTGTACTTCACTCATTTATTATTTAGATACTATTTCAGCTGGACTGGCGTAGATCCAACCCATTGTTTTTCATACTATGATATTTCATCAATTCGATCGTGATTTATACAATTTTTTAGCAAAAGAACGTCAAGCCAGGGTAAAAGAAATCTTGATATAATTTTTATTTTATTTTTACAGACAATTTTCGTCCATCATTCCTGATCATCATCATCATCATCATCTGGGAAAAAGGCATTGAATCCATAAAACGCATGATCTTTACTTCTAAAGGATCTGCAATGTACAATGGTCGAGTTATTTCTCCGAAAATGCTTCGCATACTTGCGATGTTTTCTCACAGCTCGCGCGATTGTCCTTGATATTTTCTCCGAACACGCGCGCTCTTTTGGACGACGCCGCTTTTTCGTGCCACGCTAAACTTTGCCCCGCGCCACCCCTCATATATATATGCAATATATTCCTCTTTATACTTACACCACCCAGACGCCCCTATATTCGAAGCCAGGCATACAAGTTTCTGTCGCTGATTGCTTTCCCTCCTGGCTGGGATTGATTTGCAAGCAGGTGCCCGTGCAGGCAGGAGGCATGAAATTACCTTCCCCGCAGGAACCCCCCCTCTCTTTGGATCCTTTTTTGCCCCTGGGGAACTGCTGGATGGATACTTTGCGGATACGGCTTATTCGACACGCTGGTATGATGGTCGGGGTGTGGACCATGGGCTATATACCATGGGCTATATATACGAGTAGGCAGAGAAAAGACCCTGGGTTTTGATGGGAAAGCTCATCCCTGGGGTTAAGTGACGCCTAGGATCGAGAATTGGCAGTAGTAAACTTGCGAGCGACACAGGTCGTTGAATAAACCGCGTCACTATTTTTAGACGCCTTTTTAAATGCGAGTCTCAGTTGGGATTCAAAGAAAACCTGGGTCCCTTTTAGCAATGTAATGTTTAGAGAATATAATTGTAAATGCTCCGATATATTTTTTATCGATTGATTCAATAACCACATAACATAGTAACTACTTCGAGCATAAGAATTGGCAGTAAAATTGCGAATATAGGCCATACTGAATAAACCGTGTCACGGTTTTTAGACGTTTTATTAAATGCAAATCTCAGTTGGGGTTTTTTTTAATGGACCCTTCCTTGCAATGTGCTGTTCAGAGAATATTATTCGAAATGGGCCGATTATTCTTTCTAAAATACTTAAACCACATAAAATATTAACTTCAAGCATAAGAATTTGCAGTAAACTCTCCGCGCGACGAAGGGTCATTGCATAAACCGTTCCACTACTTTTAGACGTCTTTCTGAATTAAAGTCTCATTGGGGATTTTTCTTTAAATATAAAACAAATCTAGACCCTTTCCATCCTTGCAATGTGATGTTCAGAGAAAATAATTTGAAATGCTTCGATTCGCCTTTCTCAATTAGCGGTATTTCGAATACATAAAATGTGAATTGCTTGATACTCGTTACTTGCAATTAAATTTCCAGGCATACGCTCTCCACTCGAAGCAGCACCAGTGACATTTCGATAATTTCTCAAAAACCGAGGGTACCGAGCGACATCTTCAAGAAGACCCTTTAAACTAAAAAGCCATTTTTCAATACAGCAGTTGCCAATAGATTTGCTAAAATAAGAACAGAAGATCGATCAAATTTGCAACTCCAGTCGATTGGCCGCCGTGTATTCTCAAAATTGAAGAAATCGGCGTTTAGGCACACAACCCTCTATAGAAAAACATAATTTCAAAAAATGAATGGAGAAGAAAATAAAACAAATTCCAAGCCTAATCTTGATCGAATGCCAATCCCAACATTCAGAGCCAAGGGAAAAAGACCAAAAACAAATCCCAAGACGAAGACAAAAAAACAAAAACAACCGAACTTGCAAGTCGAAATACAGTCTTCGTGGACCCGAACCCGAGGGATTTTGCTGGACGCAAGACAATCTGGGATGGGTTGCTGACGGGTTCATCGTCTCAAGAAAATACTAGTTTGAACAACAAAAACACACGAATAAAATACTGTATAAAATAAATAAATGAACGGGGTGAAAAGTTGGCTTCGCGGATCTTTCCTAGGATGACGTTCATTGCTTGCTGAATTCCCTGTTGGGCAGTATTGTAAACTTATACGCACAGTGAACCGAAAACCATGTCCCTTCCGAAAAAAAAAAAGATCTACCAAAAATGTATTTTCACTTGGAAAATCCTGATTTTTTGGAATATCTAAAATAAATATCACGGGGGTGGGGGAATCCACGACAAAAAAATCCACACTGTACTCAACAACAACAAAAAAGACGCAATTCATATACACGCCTCGCAAACAACATATTTTCGCCTTTATTTCGTTTTAAAAAGGAACTCAAGAAGGATTTTATCTAAGGACTACCATTTTTCATCTCAAGTTCTATATATTCTTACGAAACGCTTCACTGCATGGAGTGGAATGTCTAGTACTGCAGCATTGCTTGTCAAGGGATGAAAAGTGCTCGTCTGGCACAATTTGAAAGATTTGCAGATGCACCAAGAAATTTTTGAACTTCTGCACTGGATTTGTGGCTTCCCATACTTAAGGAGAAACTCGAGAAAGCGCTCTTCTCGCGTTAGGCCATCCTCGTGATGTAAATTCGCAATAAAATTGGCACGCGATGGCTTTCCCCCCACAACGACTACTGATCAAAGGCAAGACGATCACTTCTCGCAGACGATTTTGCAGAAGTTATGACTACGCGGAAGATTTGGGCAGCTTTTCCACCACGATTTTGTCTACAACGATATTCTTCGCTAAGATGATGCATTTTAAAAAGCCATGAATATACGTTGTTATCCTTATTTATAAAAGTCTTGATGACCTTCAAACCTTCGAAGTTTGTGTGTCTCCTTTGACGTGGTAGAAAATTGGGAAAAATACTTGGTCATCTCATTTTCCTTCTGGGTATAAATAGTCTTTATTGTGCTTGTATACTTGAAAAAAAAACGACAGAAACTCGATTCTATGAGGTCACTGGAACTGTAAACTTCAACAAAACGGTACAAAAATATTTCATTGAATAAATCGTGAATTGTCCATTCATCAATCTCAGAAGAAATGGGTTTCAAGAATGAAAAATCTACCAATTATTACAGCTATATCGAGTATGAATTTTATCATGAATCACCCGTTTTTTCATAATTATCTTGAATCAAGAATCAAAAGAACTCAAAAATCAAAGCTATATCAATTACGAAAGGCATAGATCATTAAATAAATCATGAAAACCCCATTTATTCATTAAAAAAATAGACTCCAAGGACTGTACCTATAGTTGCAGTTATTCGAAAAGAATAATCGAAATTCCAAGTGCGTCAGGACAAAAGGATGCTCCAGTCTCAGCAGAACACTCAGCCCCACAAGGTCTTCCAACAGCAAGACAGCACTTTTCACCAGCTGCGGAAATAATGCTCCCCGTGGGTATAAAGAAAAAATAATAATAATGGGGTCCTTGCGGCTGGATCAATAGAATGGAGTGTTGACATGATTAGGTTGTAGCCAGGGGTCAATTACCAGCTTGTTACTTGATCAATAGTGGGAAGGTTCTATTTAACTGGATCGTTCTTCATCGCTTTCTTCTTCTTCCTTTTCTTTTTTTTTATTTCTGGGTATGCAATTCCGGGGTTTTGTGCAGCTGGAGAAAAGGCAGGGCTTTGTGTTGAGCAGCGCAGGTGAGTATCGATTCAACATCTGGACAGTTGAGCTGAAAGTTGCAACGTTCATCGTGGATGTTTTCTTATACTGTATATATTTACACTATACCGAAGGTGGTATACAAATTGAAACAACCCAAAGCCTGCAAGTCAATTCAAAGTTCCATAAAGTAAACTGAAGACGGCGAGTACAGTAATGAGGTGAAAACCTTTCGAGGGCATTTATCGGTTCTATATTTAATCAGTAAAATCGTTTTGGCTGCACAGGATGAAAGGATACGCGAAAATGTTTCGTGTAGCATTGACTTTGGCTATGTTGATCATAAGGTGTGAGGCCAGAACAAGCTCTGCTCCGAAACAGCTTGAGAAGATGACTTCTGATCCATTGGTTTATGAGCCAGTGGTCGTGGAAATCATGCCGAAATCCATTGCGAGCAATCACGAGGACTTCATAATATTTTTGAAGGTTAGAAAGTAATTTTTTTCAATCGTGTTCCTCAACGAGACAGTATTGTCTGAATGGAATTTCAAAAAAAAAAAAAAACATTTTGCCATGCAACTCGCGTATTTTGTAAAAGATATGACCAATATACTGTATTCTTCTGGAGGCCAGCTTATAATTTTCCGAATTACGCTCCTCTAGAGATTATTTTTTCAGTGTTATTCTATTCTGTTTTCGTAAGGGGAAAAATGATTTTCCAGTTGTGATGCTCAACAGGTATTTTTTTCAATAGGGCCGTTATTATTTTTTCTGAAGTCGAGAACATAATTTTCTACAATCACGCCTCTCAATATAGTATTGTTCATCATTGAGACGATTAAAATAATAATCTAACGCACGTATTTAAGATCACCGCTTCAACAAATCTTGGTAAAATGGAAAGAATAATTTGAATTGTTGAACAAGGAATATAATCATCTCGAAGAAACCATGCATATTTTCCAAGGCAGAAATTCACTTTGTTTTTTGCTGCTGTATAGCCAGGCGACAAATTTGTCCTGGACTCATAATTTTGGTTCTAAACATCAACCACAAAACTTCAAATGAAATGAAGACTAGAATGATGGGCAGAAATAAATAAGAGACTACGTCAGTTTATCAACCACTTCATCATCTGCACCACTTTAAAAGAAAGGCTATAATTACTTTCTTAAAAGAATGGTACAGTACTTGGAATTCTAAAATGACGGGGAACAAATCATTTTCACAGGTCGTGAATCGCCATAATTTTTGATACAAAATACATTGATTTTTTTTTTCAAAGCAAGAGCAATAATTAGACAGATAAAAGCAAATGCAACTGTGTAATACACAGTACTATAGAGTACACTAGAATGATTTCCCGTCAGAATTTCTTGGCCCGGTGGAGCTCAGTGGTAACGCGCTTTGCAAACGTGATCATGAAAGAATTCCTCATCCTGGCGCCACCCGAAATGCACCACTTGGCCTCCAAAACCACATCGGCGCCATTCGCGGAGGCGGACATCAGGATCGAATCCGCCGCCCCGGGCGACGCAGGGATGCCAAACACACTGCGCAGCCTCGGGTGCGAACACCCGGGCCTGTTCATACATGTGCCTGTGAGCTCCGTGTTCTTGGCCTCGGGCGACGTGTTCGGCAATAATGCATCCGCTCAACAAGGTAAAGGTGTACCAAAAATACACAGGGAACTCTTGTGATGCCATACGAGCGGTCCAACAATGGTTCTCGCGATAGAAATTGAACCGGCATACGATTCAGCTGAAAAACGAGCATTTTTAGGAAAAACATTCCTTGTCACAAAAAAAAAAAAAATCAGCCCTGTTTTAACAAATTTTGCAGAAAATTTCTACAAAAGTCGCGCTGGGAGCTTTTTGCTCATTACTCGAAAGACAAGGTGTACCCCAGCTTTCTGTTCAGAATTATTTCTTGAAATTAACAAACCATTAATTTCAAGGGTTCCCGCCATTAATTTATTATTTTATCCACCATTTTTATCAAAAGCCGCCTTTAAAGCCGCCAATTGGTGTGCTAATGTGGCGGCTGTTGATCACTTTGAAAGACTTGCAGGCAATCCTTGAAATGTATGCCACGTCGATCTGAAAAATTCTGAAGGAGGAACTGGGCTACGCCAAAAATAAAAATAAAAATCCAAGACGGGCTCCTCATCTTTTGAGTGAAGAGCTAGCTGAAAGCAGTTGGGTGAAATTTGGAACAAAAAAAAAAGGCGAACAGGATTGATTTTTCCTCTTGTGCCAACAAACGTTATTTCTGAGCAATAACTGGTTGTACCTTTGTCACAAACAATTCAATCGTACCCAATAAGTTTTCGTCACCTCCTCTCAACGGATGAAAGAACCTGATCATAAAAATCGTCAAAATAAAAAAAAATAATGAAGATGATTCCAAATCGTTCGCAGACTTCGTCACGTTTTCTATGGCAAAGAAGAGCTGTAGATCCATATTTTTCAAAAGGTGGAATGACTTTTGTAATTTTTTTTTCTATTTTGTAGATGATGCGATGCTCGAGGCCTGGGCACAATACAGATGGGGTACATTCAGCACCAGAACATGTCCGATATTTGGTGACAAAGCAGCCCCCAAGTAAATGTCAGCTTTTCAATCCATAAATCACTCTTTTTGGCAATTTTTTTTTTTTTTTGCTGAGCGGACGCGACGCTATGCGTTGATTTTTTTTATAAAATTGAAAAACATGAACTTAGGTTTGACCTATAACCGAGATGATGCGATACCTATAAAATATTACCATTAGGCTAATTTCTTGACCAGAAAATGCATCAAAATTTTACGATACGTCAGTGAGTTTTAAATCGTCGGAACTTCAAAACGTTTTCCTTTACATTTACAGCCTTTTTTGCATTTTAGTTCCTTTTGGGAAATTATACAAATCTTTTTTGTACTGTTATATATGTGTTTCTATCGGCAAAATTTTCCATTTTTTTCCTGCTCACATTATACAAATAAAAATTTATACAGCCTTTTTTGCATTTTAGTTCCTTTTGGGAAATTATACAAATCTTTTTTGTACTGTTATATATGTGTTTCTATCGGCAAAATTTTCCATTTTTTTCCTGCTCACATTATACAAATAAAAATTTCAACAGGCCAAATGCTCTCCAAAAATGTTCTGTTAGTTTTTGCTACCTATCCCGTTTATTTTCATTTCCTGAAATTTCTGCTTGCCGTCCAAGAAAAATTCGTCTCAAATCTCCAGCATGCATAAAATAAAATTTTAAGTCAATTTCGAGTAAAGGGATGTATATTTCGTTCATAATCGAGCACGTCTCAGCCGGTGCAGTACACATTATTTTATTTACACTGATAAATAAGGTCCATCGAGTAGAGTTTTTACAGGAGTAAATTATTCTCCAGATTAGAATCAGCTTCAAAGAATGCTTCAGAGAGATTTATATCTTTATGAACAAAATAATGTGTTATACCGTAAATCTTGTCCGTCAAGAAAGCAACGTAGGACATATGGGGGCTTTCTCGTGGCAGACGAGGGGCGAAATTCGTATACTGTATATTCACTGCACTCAGGAACTTGGGTGAAGTGAAGCAAAAGACATGCGGCAGACAAGTGCGGGCTGCCCCAGCTAGGTCATTTGTGCAAAAGTATGGGTCATTCAATAAGGCTCACTGACACATAGAATTGCTTGCTTGGCTGCAGTGAGGAGATGAAGGGATATTTCGCACAACCCTGTGTTTCAGAGGAATTTCTTTTCAATTTCAAGGATCATTACTAAACTTTTTGACCCACATGCTCCATTTCGGGCGCGGATTATATTCACTCGTGGATTACTAAAAAATAAATTCTCAGAAATAATTTAAAAAGCCCTTGAAACACTGGTAAACTTCAGGCTCCTAGGACTTTTCCTGAAAGCTTGCTTTTCAGATTCAATAATGACGAGATAATTGCCGTCATCTTGCGATTTTTGAGTTCAATTATTGTGCATTGTGCGATCGAACACCGCGAAATACGTCTAGCTTCAACTATAGTGTTTTAGCATACGTTTCGGTGACAATAAAGGTCCCGGGTGATTCAATTTTTGTTACGTTTGTAAGACCCCAAAGTTGTAGTGTAAAGTGTATCCCACACCTCAACGTCATAAACTAGCCATTAACTAGCTTGCTTGGCTGCAGTGAAGAGATGGAGGGATATTTTGCACAACCCTTTGTTGATCTGAGGAATTTTTTTATCTTTACTTCAAGGATCATTACTAAACTTCTTGACCACACGCTTCATTTCGGGCGCGGATTATATTCACTCGTGGATTATTAAAAATATCAATTCTCAGAAATAACTTGAAAACCCCTAAAGTTTTTCAAAAAAAGGTTTTTCAAGTTTTTGAAAACCCCTAAAGTTTTTCAAAAAAGGTTTTTCAAGTTTTTGAAAAAACCTTGCATTTCAACAAGTTAAATTCTCCCGCATTCCCGACTTCCTCAGACATCTGCGCGAAAGCTCTTTGGCCGAACCAGACTTCGACCGTGAAATGCTCAATGATGAAACCAAGCTCGAACTCGGAATATCTGCGCATGAGCAGCATTGTGGGGGGAAATCCGAAGTTGACGTGATCAAAAAGCACAAAGACATTCGACACAGGGAATCTATGACAATGTCAACACAGAAGATCAATTTTAGAATATTGAGACCATCCGAAGTAATTCCCGCATTTTTAATTGTGATCCCAGCAGCTTTGTTCAAGGCGAAGAAGCGGAAAAACTCTGAATCGGTTTGTGTTTCTTTTTTTGGGATTTAAAATTTGTGAAAGTTTTACTCGTCCGGCGAATATTATCGTGTTTCAGAAAAGAACGGAAAAATGCGTTTAAACATTGTTCGAAGTTCAGTATCTTCATTGAGAATTTCGTTCAGGAGAAATTTGATCACAACGAAAGAACGATATTTCGGGGACCATAGACGAATTTTGCACACAAAAAGATGAATACAATACAAACAAGGTATTCAACAATAATTGGGGGNTACAGCCTTTTTTGCATTTTAGTTCCTTTTGGGAAATTATACAAATCTTTTTTGTACTGTTATATATGTGTTTCTATCGGCAAAATTTTCCATTTTTTTCCTGCTCACATTATACAAATAAAAATTTTAACAGGCCAAATGCTCTCCAAACATTTTCTCAATTAGTTTTTGCTACCTATCCCGTTTCCTTAATTCCTGAAATTTCTGCTTGACGTCCAAGAAAAATTCGTCTCAAATCTCCAGCATGCATAAAATAAAATTTTAAGTCAATTTCGAGTACAGTAATGTATATTTCGTTCATAATCGAGCACGTCTCAGCCGGTGCAGTACACATTATTTAATTTACACTGATAAATAAAGTTCTTTGAGTGGAGTTTGTACAGGAGTAAATTATTCTCCAGATTAGAATCAGCTCCAAAGAATACTTCAGAGAGATTTATATCTTTATGAACAAAATACTGTGTTATACCGTAAATCTTGTCCGTCGAGAAAGCAACGTAGGACGTATGGGGGCTTTCTCGTGGCAGACGAGGGGCGAAATTCGTATACTGTACTGTACTGTATATTCACTGCACTCAGGAACTTGGGTCAAGTGAAGCAAAAGACATGCGGCAGACAAGTGCGGGCTGCCCCAGCCAGGTCTTTTGTGCAAAAGTATGCGCCATTCAATAAGGCTCACTGACACATAGAATTGCTTGCTTGGCTGCAGTGAGGAGATGAAGGGATATTTCGCACAACTCTGTGTTTCAGAGGAATTTCTTTTCAATTTCAAGGATCATTACTAAACTTTTTGACCCACATGCTCCATTTCGGGCGCGGATTATATTCGCTCGTGGATTACTAAAAAATAAATTCTCAGAAATAATTTAAAAAGCCCTTGAAACACTGGTAAACTTCAGGCTCCTAGGACTTTTCCTGAAAGCTTGCTTTTCAGATTCAATAATGACGAGATAATTGCCGTCATCTTGCGATTTTTGAGTTCAATTATTGTGCATTGTGCGATCGAACACCGCGAAATACGTCTAGCTTCAACTATAGTGTTTTAGCATACGTTTCGGTGACAATAAAGGTCCCGGGTGATTCAATTTTTGTTACGTTTGTAAGACCCCAAAGTTGTAGTGTAAAGTGTATCCCACACCTCAACGTCATAAACTAGCCATTAACTAGCTTGCTTGGCTGCAGTGAAGAGATGGAGGGATATTTTGCACAACCCTTTGTTGATCTGAGGAATTTTTTTATCTTTACTTCAAGGATCATTACTAAACTTCTTGACCACACGCTTCATTTCGGGCGCGGATTATATTCACTCGTGGATTATTAAAAATATCAATTCTCAGAAATAACTTGAAAACCCCTAAAGTTTTTCAAAAAAAGGTTTTTCAAGTTTTTGAAAACCCCTAAAGTTTTTCAAAAAAGGTTTTTCAAGTTTTTGAAAAAACCTTGCATTTCAACAAGTTAAATTCTCCCGCATTCCCGACTTCCTCAGACATCTGCGCGAAAGCTCTTTGGCCGAACCAGACTTCGACCGTGAAATGCTCAATGATGAAACCAAGCTCGAACTCGGAATATCTGCGCATGAGCAGCATTGTGGGGGGAAATCCGAAGTTGACGTGATCAAAAAGCACAAAGACATTCGACACAGAGAATCTATGACAATGTCAACACAGAAGATCAATTTTAGAATATTGAGACCATCCGAAGTAATTCCCACATTTTTAATTGGGATCCCAGCAGCTTTGTTCAAGGCGAAGAAGCGGAAAAACTCTGAATCGGTTTGTGTTTATTTTTTTTATATTACAAATTTGTAAAAGTTTTACTCGTCCGGCGAATATTAGCGTGTTTCAGAAAAGAATGGAAAATGCGTTTGTACAATGTTCGAAGTTCAGTATCTTCATTGAGAATTTCCTTCAGGAGAAATTTGATCACGACGAAAGAACGATATTTCGGGGACCATAGACGAATTTTGCACACAAAAAAGATGAATAAAATAACGGTATTTAACAACAATTGGGGGCTTTTTCTGAAATCAGAGATTAAATTGTTCAAATCCGATATTTTTCCCTTCAAAAAATATATATTATCAAGCAAAATACCAACATTTCCCGGCAGAATAAAGCACTTGAAAAATGTTTTGCTGACGTTTTCTGAAAGGTTTTTATTTTAAAAAAAAGTTCGCATGAATCAAGCCATCTTTTTTGTGAAAAAACATTCTCTAATGAGATTTTTGTTCTTTACCATGCGCCAAAAAAAGACAGCAAGCCGAAATTCTGCGAGACGATTTCAAGTCCAGAGATTTTGTGATTCTGTCATCCACGGCCTAATGGAAACCTACGACGGATTGCGAGGCGCACCTTGCGAAAGTTAAATTCTCCCGCATTCCCGACTTCCTCAGACATCTGCGCGAAAGCTCTTTGGCCGAACCAGACTTCGACCGTGAAATGCTCAATGATGAAACCAAGCTCGAACTCGGAATATCTGCGCATGAACAGCATTGTGGGGGGAAATCCGAAGTTGACGTGATCAAAAAGCACAAAGACATTCGACTCAGGGAATCTATGACAATGTCAACACAGAAGATCAATTTTAGAATATTGAGACCATCCGAAGTAATTCCCGCATTTTTAATTGTGATCCCAGCAGCTTTGTTCAAGGCGAAGAAGCGGAAAAACTCTGAATCGGTTTGTGTTTCTTTTTTTGGGATTTAAAATTTGTGAAAGTTTTACTCGTCCGGCGAATATTATCGTGTTTCAGAAAAGAACGGAAAAATGCGTTTAAACATTGTTCGAAGTTCAGTATCTTCATTGAGAATTTCGTTCAGGAGAAATTTGATCACAACGAAAGAACGATATTTCGGGGACCATAGACGAATTTTGCACACAAAAAGATGAATACAATACAAACAAGGTATTCAACAATAATTGGGGGCTTTTTCTGAAATCAGAGATTAAATTCTTCAAATCCGATATTTTTCCCTTCAAAAAATACATATTATCAAGCAAAATACCAACATTTCCCGGCAGAATAAAGCCCTTGGAAAATGTTTTGTCGACGTTTCCTGAAGACAATTATTAAAAAAAAAACAAGTTCGCATGAATCAAGCCATCTTTTTTGTGAAAAGAAGCGTTCTCTAATGAGATTTTTGTTTTTTACCATGCGCCAAAAAAAGACAGCAAGCCGAAATTCTGCGAGACGATTTCAAGTCCAGAGATTTTGTGATTCTGTCATCCACGGCCTAATGGAAACCTACGACGGATTGCGAGGCGCACCTTGCGATCATTTGCCACAAGGGTGTCTGCACAAATACAGCCGACCCATTTTCGAGTTTTTCTTTTACGGAGACTCTGTGTTGAATTGGGAATTTCCTTGCACAACTGAATTGGTCCAAGAAGGTCGTTCAGAAAGTCTAGAGCGAAGAGTGGGGACAGGTGCTTGCGTCGGTTGTGGGTTACAACGACTGATTCAGGTAATTAATATTGTAAAAATAAGAGCCTTATGTAATAACTTGAATGCAGGAAAGAATTCCATTAATATATGTTTGGAGGAGTTTTTCAGCGAAAGAATTTCGAATAGCTGGATTTTAATTCTGCGTTCAATCAGTTTATAATTATACTCTTTCAAGTTTAAATTCTCATCAGTTGGTATCCGAAAGCTAAATTAGTGGATTTTTTGAAATTGTAATGAATATAAAAAGAAAACCTCAGTAATACTAAGGACAGAATTGCCTTTATTTTTGCTAATTATTATGCATTACCCATGATAAAAGGGTTGTTTCAGTTGGACGCGACTTATGATATTTTTAGAGGAAGGTAAGATTTAAAAAAAAAATGCATGGCGAAGCCACGATGAAATGTGGTTGTTTTGACCATGATATAAAATTCAAGAAAAGATACTGTAATGGGTAAAAAAAAAAAAATGCTACTTTTTTAAAGCTGGACTGAAAGTTTTTCTCACCTTGTAACATGGGTGGAGAAATTTCGCTGTAAATAAAAATTTTTCACTTATCATGCAGTAAACTGAAAAAAATGTAATCCGAAAAAATCCTAGGACCTTATTACAACGTCATGGGCTATATGTCATTATTTTCAACAATCACACCTACTCTAAAAATATCATAGGTCGCAGCCGCCTGGGACAACCCTCGCAAAGCGTTTTACTCCGTTTTTCAATCCAACAGAGAGCAGATGAATTGAACGGAGAGGCTATTCTGTACCTTTTTGCAATAACAAATCATAATCACGTTTTGATGAAAAGCATGGAACAGATCTTCAATCACGCGACTAAATCCAAGCACAAAGCACTGTTTCCGATCGCGCTCCAGTGAGTAAAAATATTTGAAAAATAATTTCCAAATTCCAACAATGATTTCTTGAAAATATTCTTTTTTTTTCTTTAGTCATGATGCGCTTAGAACAATGGAAGAAGTGGCAAACGCTTTTCAAACCAAAGCATTCTATGCACCTCTGGATATGGGTCCTGTGTTAGTCACCAGTGTTTTGCAGGAAACATTGTATCAAGTGGCTGCTTCGGGGAATTTCAAACATTTTCCGGTCATGGTAATGCAAAGAATTTCATAATCCATCTCTTTCTTCGTATTCAAATTAAAATTTGATTGCCCAAGAACAGGATCTTCTAAATTGATTCTCCCAACAATTTGACAGCAATTGTATACTTCGATGTATACTCCATTGAATACGAAGAACAGTACTTAATACAGTACTGTACTACGAAATTTCGTTTGCAGCTTGATACCCGGTTGTTACCATGGAACATCAGCATGAACCAGAACAATTATCACATCGAGAGGAATGACAGAGGATATGACATGATAGTTTCGGCATTCCAACCACCAGACGACAATTTATCAAAGGTCAAGGGATTTTCCCAGCAGGAATCCGGGAGCGATGGATCAGAACATTCCTCGGAAGATACATTTTTGTCAAGCGATCCGAAATTTTCAATTCCTGGTGACTATCGCCCAAAATTCCAAGACAGTCTGTCACAAAATAACACGGGCATGGACTGGACACACGTCGTGCTCATCAGAACAATCAGCAAAGAGGTCACACATCTTTTTAAATCATTCAAATAATGTAAATTATGTTGAGCAGCAGTACATTCATGCATATTTTTCAGGGTTCCTGGGATCTCGGAGTTCAAAGAAGGTCGGCTGCGTCATTCATTGTGACAGCCTTCATTCCAAAGGATCAGGAAATTGAAAGTAGGCTAAAATTGAACTAATTTTAAAAGCTGAAGCAATTTTTCTAAAACTTGAATTTGATATGTAACTCTATGATACTGTAGGAGTGAATCCATAAATTCAACAGGTGCACTTATTCAGTATCTCCAATTTTCACTTTACGCATGCCAACTTTTTTATGACGATAGTTCATCCTCCAATAGAATTTCCATTTTCTGTTGAACACTGCAAATAAAAAATTTATAACTGGACGAACTCAATTAGATTTCGAGGGACTTCAATGAACACAAATTCATTTTTCGGTCCCGACTGAAGATTCGATTGAGATGAGGAATTTTATTTTCAAATATTGTAGAATATGTAGATGAAGTTCAAAAGGGGAAATCATTTTTAGTATAATTGGATGAGAAATGCAGAAACATTCTTCCCTCATTATTGAAGCAAGAGCTTCACAAAAATTAAAAGTCAACCAACTTTTTGGGAGAAAGCTCCAGAACTTTTAACGAGTTCTTTCATAAGATGGCAAACTTCAACCTTTTTTCCTGATGAATCACTGCTTCTTGATTCGATTCAAATTCCAACAGAATTTTCAACGTAGCAAAAAACCGAGTTTCCAAAATTTTATTATATAAGAATTCAATTTTCACATCGATTCCTTCATGCGCAAATTATTAAGGAAAGGACTAATAGTTTTTTTCCGTCAAATATCTCATTAATTACCATTTTAAAAATGATCTGCGGAATCGCCGCGCTTTTACCCAACAACCATAGGGTTTTCAAACCTCAGAAGCTGCTGATGCTGTCACTTATTTAAGCTCTGAATGATGATCATGTTTACCTCATCCTCGCTAATTCAGTAAATTATAAAATTAAACATCCTCGAAGACTAACTTCTCAAGGACCAATCGACTCGTCGCATATTTATCTATGTTAACATGAAGGATGCAGTTCGATACTTGCCGACGAGAATCCATCTTAACCCTAAATTTTGTTTTCCACAGTTCTTCCAGATCTACTCAAAGAAAAAGACCCAGCAGGAAAAATGGCGTCCGTATCAGTGACAACTCTAGTCCGGAAGGGCAGCAGTCCCGTGCTTGGTGCTATTGTGAGGTGAGCTAAGCCGCAATATGAAATCCGGATACTGCACAACTCGCATAGCGACGAATGGACACGCGTGACATGAACTCGGCAATTAAGACATCAACAACTGGAAAATTTCAACAAGCAAAGAAAAAACAGTAAACTTTCCCATAGTAGCTTAAATCTCGCTATAACGAACTTCGATACGGGGGCAACGGAAACATTCGTAGTAACGAAAATTATCGACAAATCAATATTCCCTTACAAACATTTTACAGATTTTTTTTCTTCTTACGTGAGAGACGATTTCGTTCAACCTTGCCTTTTTTTCTGGAAACGAAGGGATTGAGATAAATTTCTGAAACAGTATAAATTTTCCTAATAGATTTAATCTGGTTAAAACGAACTCCTATAGGATCCCCTGGAAGATTCCTTATAAGTTATAACGAATAAATCGTTAACTCAATGCTCTTCTTCAATTAATTTTGAAATTTTCTGGAAGCGGAAGGATTGAGATGGATTTCCGGAAAATGCTCAAAAAAATTATCTTAGTTAATATTTTACCAACAAAGTCAGCTCGTGATCACTTAATTGATCATACCTTAATATAATGAAGATTTAAAATTGTGTAATGATTTTTTCCGAGTACAGATGAAATCTTGTTCAAACAGAAAGAAACCAATGACACATTTTTAAAATTCATTCTATCTAGATTATGTTTGTAATTTTTTTCATTCCAGATACTGTATCGGATATCATATCTCGACATCCTATTTTTTCTTGGTTAAAAATTTTCAAGAAAAAAATATTCCACAACAAAAGTGAAAAGATCATGTTAAAAAAGTTGTTCCAGAGACAGTTGAACTTATTGATTCAATCTGTCATTTCCTTCGGAGGAACAATCCATGCAATTTATTTTTTCCATTACCATCAGAACAATTTGGAGCAAAATTAATAAATTATCAGGATTGATGAAACCCGCTGCAAAAAAAAAAAAAAAAAAAAAAAAAAAAAAAAAACAAAAAAAAAAAAAGAAACCCGCTGCAAAAAAAAAAAAAAAAAAAAAAAAAACAACCAAAAATCGATGCGTTTTCATATTTTTAACCGCATGCTTCCTAGGAATTTCTGCCGAGAACTTGAAAAAATATACGGTATACTGTACAGTACTGTAATTAAAAGACGTAATAAAACAATTATTTCTAGCAGATTATCGCGTTTAAAATTATAATTTTTGCTTACAGTTTTGAGTTTCACTTTTTCAAAGTCGTTTTCTATCTTTTTTTTTTATGGCTCAATTGTTCAGTCGTCTCAATGAGAGTTGTGCTGATGATCACGGAATCAATCGAAAAGATATACTCTGCGTCACACGGTAGCCATGCTCTGCTTGCGCTTCCTGATGCTGGCTCAGTAGAGTCTGGCTTTTGCGCCTGAAATGCTTCACTTGTCCCGTTCAATAAAATACCCTCCTTTGAAGACGATAGCATTTTCTCCTGTGACAGATGACTTCCCCGCCTCACTTCCTTCCATCTCTTTCTCGTTGTTGTTGTTACTTTTCCTCCTCTCTCGAATAAAGAACGAGGATATGAAAAATGATCATATCTCACTCAGCAAATAAATTTTTGCACGGCGATGAGCCGCGCGGAGATGTAAAAGATCAGAATTGATTAATGACTTCCTCCCTCCCGACCCCTCCCATGCACAGTTGCGTTGTTATTCGGGAAGATGAATTTGATGGTGATGCGAGTCGCGTTGTGGAAGAGGTTTTGCTCGCAGACGCGGGAGACGCCGGTGATATTGGCGCAAATGATGGCATCTACACCGCGAAGCTTCCGGTCCTCGAAACCCCGGGCTTTCACTTGCTTTTCATCCGCGTGCGGGGAATCGAGAACATCACCCATGTCATCAGAGGTGAAATAAAAATAAAAACCGTATAGATAGCAGCTAGGGTAAAGGGCTCATGAGCAGAAGAAAAAAAAAATCACAGCTCACACATGAAGCGAAAAGACACGTCCGATTTTTCTAAACATGTTCCAGAAACAGCTTTTGTACATAATGTGGATCACGAAATGAATCATCATAGTCACCATCAGGCAAAGGAAAGTGCTTGATGAAATTTGAAAAGAGCGAGCTCTTCAAAAATGTCAATTTAATGCTATACGAGCGTGAAGTTTGAAATCGCTGCCAGCCTTTTTTTTCGACAAAGCAGCTAGTTTTTGTCCCCGAAACACGTACTTTTCAGTTCCCTTTTCTCGAAAAATTAGTATTGCTTGATGTCCATCAATACAGGGATAAACAGCCAAGGAAGTGGGGGCTTCCCCTTTGTTTCTGGATGCGACAGTCCCGAAGGAACTTGGGAAAAGGTCATGCTACCAGGGTTTTCCAGGTTCAAGTTTCTCGACTACGTCAAGGTACGCTAAAAAAAGAAGCCTAAATCTCTAATTGTTTTTTGTTGTTGAGAAATTAATCCCGGGAACGGCAAATACTGTCGCACAAAACAGTTAACCAAGGAGGACATTGATGCATGGGGCGCAAATTTCACTGAAAAGCGAGAGAAGAATAAGGTAGAACAAATCAAAGTTTCCAACGCGCAAAACAGCAGGACTGTTGTCATCGAATGGGAATTTCAAAGGAGTCTGAATCCAAGTAAGAGTTCCATATACACACCTAATGTATTCACGCAATGATTTTTATGGAGGTCACACCCCTGACTTCGGGCAGTGATTCTTAAAATTTGAAAACAGATAAAATACAACTTGGATGAGGCGGAAATACAAGTCCAGTTTTTCCAAACGTATTTCAGCAGATTTTTTGGCATTAGATAAAAAAAAGGATTATCGACCGGTAAAACGAGACTGTGCTAAAATAGACTGCATCCACGTTTCCGAGTGCATATTATAGAAAAGGTCGAAGCCTGGCCAGTAAAATAATTGAGCGATTATATTACAGTAATTACGATACAATCGAATAATGATGCCATTTTATTCATAAATTATAGATTTCGAACTCCATTGCCAAAAAGCAAGTGACGATGGAACGAAGGGTTTCAAGAGACTTGATGATTTCGGAAAATTCGAGATCTTCAGCGAAAAAGATTCCGCCACGTCTCGCGCTACCCTAAGTTTCACAGCTTCTCCCGTGGGAACGGAACCCAGCAATTCCGAAAATCACTTTTGCGGAATAATCAGCAGATCATCCGAAGGAAGGCCTCGAACAATTTCGAAACTCTTCCAAGTTCCGGCATTAGTTGATCCAACGATAGAGAAAGAAGCCTCTGTATTCGAGGTACAGTATTTCTAAACAAAATTTCATGACTATGTACCGTAAAAGTATACAGTAAATTCACTCCAATGCAAGGCGCACTTTTCCCCATTTTAATTTCATACATCGAAGCAGTCAGCGAATTTGATTGCATCTTGAAAATTCAATTTCAAAATGCGGGTCCATCACGTGATTAGAAAACATGAACCCATTCAAATTAATATACAGAATATTGATTACTATCTCAGTGCATCTGATTCATATTTTCGAGGCATGTTCTGAGCTGAACAACCTTTTTTGAAAACGGACTCATTCTCAAAAATGCAATTCTTGGAGAATATACAGTTTTCAAATACTGTACGTTATACTTTACAGGTGATCTCTCTCCATTACAACAATCTTGTCTACAACGATTTTCTTTGCATAGCGTATTCCTCCTATACGCCTAAAGAGTTATTTCCCCATGTTATAGAATTATAGAGGTTCTCTGCAACGAAATTCTCTCTATACAACGAATTATTTTGCTGGTACCTCGCATTTTTCCTGAAAGAGTCCACCTGTATACTGATCAGGTTTTTTTTTTCAAGTGACGCACATCATAGTTGGCATAAGCTTGGTTCGGGAGATATTTTAGCTTGAAAGGAAATTAAATAAAGCGTACACTTATATTCGTAACGGATTTTTCAAGGGCATAAAACATCGTTTTTTTTTCGAGAAAACATCCGGTCATCAATGTCTATACAGTAATTTCTAAGGTCCACTTCGTAAGATGATATACCGCGTACACTTCCTTTGAATCCTATAGCACACGTTTTTTTTGCACGCAATGATGTATCTCGGGTTTGCTTCCTATAATTTTTCAGCGTTCTTAAAGCGTTACAACTTGTAGTGCGTAAGCTATCTGAGAACTAATGCGTCTTGAATTATTCCGGTAAATAAATACAGCGTATTAAAATTTTTTGCACAGCATGCATTCACATGATAGGGTTTTTTTCCATGCATAAAACGGATAAACTCGGTGATACTGTACAGGTAAAATAAGCGGATATTATGTAGACCCTTTCATTACATTAAAGCAGAATGATGAAAAGAACGCTACCTCAATTCCCGACTGCAAGTCCTGTGAGCCCGTCATTGTGATGACTCCTTGCGCTGCCTCAGAATCATTCAACAGCACCAACCATCAGAAGATGGCTCCTGACACCGAAGAAATAACGCTTACTATCTCAAGTCCATCTCACGACAGATCCGCTGATGTTTCACCAGAGGAAAGTGAGAACGTTTTTCCGCACGTATTGGAACGCATTTTCCAAGTCTCTTCCCGAAACAGCGATAACGCGACACAATCCGGAGGATCACGATACACGACAGCATGCACTTCTTGGGTCGTTTTCGCAAAGCGAACTCTCAGAAAACGCGAATGTTCCAGCACAGCAAATAAATGTTACCGAGTTTCTCAACACCACAGTTTCCACAAATTCAACAGATTCTACAATCCAGCAAAACAAAACTCAAGTTATCGTCGACGGTACCGCGATGACTCCAGCAGGGTTGGGAATCACAATAGCATCAATTGAGCTGCATCACTTATTTTCGGAGATTTACATCTCAATCATCTCCCCCTACACAATTTCTTTAGTTTTTCATGGCTACTTCTCACTTTTTCCAGAGATGAAGGAGACGACTCTCCTGTGAAACTCATCGTTGAGGAATCAACCCCTCGGCTGGAACACAGCGATGGAAAAAAATCAAAATTTCTGGTTCCTGTGCACCACGAATCCGTTCATAGGTTCGCAAATACTACACATGAAGCTTTCAGCATGCTTCATAATTTATTTCGGCGTTGGATAACAGCAATACTGTTTATGTTTACACTAAAACTCATTGTATAGAAGACACGTACATCCTGGAGCAGTAGAACCCGCTGAAGAAAACGACGGGCATGAACACGACTACCCGCTCAAAATGTCGGATAAGGATGATGTGACGGATCAGCGAAGTTCCGACCTGGAAGCCATCTTGATTGCGTTTGCAAGCAGTTCATTGCTGCTACTTTCTCTTGTCGTCTGCGGATTTTACTTGACCGAAAGGTATGTATACATGGTCACTACTGCTACCGCACGATGGTTTATTTAGCTTACAGATTTCGATGCCACGTCACGAAGACGAATGCGCATCATGGAGGTGCGAAGGCTGATCCCAGCGAACCCCACCATGCGTAGTATAGTATATTGATGGGAAATTTGAACGGAAATTATGCATTTACACCGCGCACCATCCGCATTCACGACCATAATCGACATGACGCACACGCACTGTGAAGCTACTAAAACAAATTGAGCATATTATCTGGAAAAAAAAATATATATATATATCCTTTCCTGGAATTACTGATGAAACTCTGGACTGAATATAATACATTCCATTACGTCTGTTACCTCAAATAATTTAAAGTCGGCCAACAAACCATTGATGCATTTTTCCACCATAACTTCGTTGGGATAAAAGTATAGCCAAGATCAAAGCTTTGCAATGTTTTTATATGAACAAATGGATTACTTTTACCATTGATTCAGTGATTCAGCCACTTCGAGCTTGATTTTATTAATCTTAAAATTCAAGCAAGGGTGTTATTAAGAAGTAGATTTGTATTTATACCTTAAAGGCTTGAGTTATATGGATGTGTACGAGTATACAGCATTAAGTCTTCTAAAATAGTTTTGTTGCTTTCATGCAAACTTTCAGAAACACCTGCATTGTAGAGCCCACTTATGTATAACATGCATAGGAAGTGCAGCTTCACAGATCCAGGGTTTTATAATTTGGGAATCAGGAAACCAACAGTTGATAAATATTACAAGTACAAAATTGCCAAAAGACATTTTCCCTTATTTTTGTTTGGAAAAACAGCCTTATTTGATTTTGAAGTCCAATATACTGTAGACATGGGTGCTAATTTCAACGAAACTTCATAAATCACATATTATATGGCACGTGAACGGTCAAAACAATTCTGCATTCTAGAATTTCCCCAACCTCCTGGAGCTCTTTTTGGAATAAAATTCTCAAGCGAAGTTCCTTCGCGAAGATTTTCACTTATTTCGGGCAGGATATGAACATTGTTCGCCATTTTTTCAGAGAAGAGCTGCACAAAGATGGACTCTGGACTCATCGGATGAGTATGGGAATTTCTTCCACAAACGATCACCCAGAAAGTTCACGCCAATTCCATAGGCAGTAATTTTGTCACGCACTGTCGTACTCAATAGAGTTTAATTTCAGGTTACGTCCCGGAGCCATAAGGATATTCAAAATGCAAAACAGACCGACGAGAGGCTGACAAATTATTTCTTGCTGGGAAGGATCTCCTTTGCATGCTGTCGCAGATGCATACATGCAGCACAGAACAAACAATGAAGGCTTCTGTGCAACAAAATGAACTAGGGTCCCGAGATTTCGCCGAAAAAAGCTTTTATTACTCAGGCAATACAATGCAAATGTCACAATCCCGTGAAGGATATTCCGCCGCTTATTGAAGCCACGCGAGAATTTTCGTTCACCTTCCTGGACCACACTGGCATCAACACACAGAAAATCCCCGCCACAGCCAAACGTTTCTTAAAAGATGCGATTTCAGTTATCATAAAACTTCAGCACTTCGCTAACGTGTTCATTGTCCTTCGGCTTCTTCTGCTTGTTCGGCTTGCGGACCCCTCTTCGCTTGGGAATTTTAGCTACCTTCGTTGGGCCTTGTTTTTGCATGGATGTTATCCCCTAAGCGTAAAAAATTGACCAAATAAGATCACAACATTCCCTGATCTTCCCAGAGCGCTAGAATAATATTTTACAATCAAGAAAGTGAAAAATGCTGAAAATTTCCAAAGCTTGGATGAAATCCGATGCATGTTCACTGACATGCTTGGTGAATGTTGATCTATGCTTATTTGCGTAAGTTTTCTCTCAATGAGGAAAAATTCAACAAATAAATTTCAAACTGAGATTTCCCCCGACATTCAATAAATCTGCTTACGGCATAGTATAAATTATCGTATATACACACAAGGAAGCCAGGGCAAATGGAACTTGGACTGATTCAGTGTTAGATTAAAATGCTTTCGTAACCACCAGTGACATCTACCCGCAATAGATAAATTACTCATCGTAACGTGCACAAAAGGAGAAGTCGTCACACGTATACCTCGTATTTCTCATTACGTCATACAGTTGATGTTGGGACAAACTACAATTATTTACGCGGTACTCTCACCTGTTTCTGAAGGTATTCCTCAATTTTCTCGTCGTCCATTCCGTCCACGGCTGCGGCTCGCCACAATTTCTGAAAATCTTCGTCCACTTTGAATTGACAGGATTTGTCGTTGTAGAACAAGACCTTCTTCTTGTCGTGCGGCCGAGTTACAAACAAGATTTCGTCTCCAAGTTGCTGTAAAAATAGATGAATAAATCAACTGTTATCGACCAAGCATCGGATTTTCCATCGAATTTTCTTATTTCTGTTCGCGCTTCTTTCCGCATTGCTCTCTTTTCAAGAAGTATTGCCAGCCGAAAAAGCGAAGAATATTTGAGGGGTGAATATTTTCGGGCACTAAAAGAATTTTTCAGAAAAATAGCGTCGAATTTCTTGCATTAATTTAACACTTATCCCAACTAAGTTTTTTTTCCTGGAATTGAAAGACTGTACACCGGACAACACAACAAAATGCCAGAAACAAGTACTGTACATTACTGTGGAAGTGTAAGTCATCAAATCCAGGTTAAAAATTGAGAGCATCTCTTGACAGCTAGTGACACCTACCAGCACTATAATCATTCTCATTAAAAAAAATGGAACTTCTGCATACGTTAAAAAAAATAATAGCTAGTTTTTTTTTTTCTCCACAAAACATTGAAGACGACGACGAGATAATGTCGACTAAAGGCTTCACATACCTTGATGCACTTTTCCGCCCTCGGCAGAGACTCCATCACATCATCCATCAAAATTCCGCCCAGCCCCTTCAAATCATGGTTTTTGAGCAGCTTCAGCAACGACTTCTTGTCCTTGAGCGTGTAAGGAGGCTTGAATATGTATCTTCCGGGCTCAACTTCCTCTATTTTTGGATTGCTCTTGAGAGCTTCGTCGATGAGCCACTGCTTCGTACGAATGCCCACGTCCAACTGACACGTTTCGTCGAGGATTTCTTCAATGGTGAGCGGGTGGACGTCGCCATCCTGATGGCGAGTTCGCATGTGCTTCACGATTTTTGCTAGAACACCGAACTTGAAGGCTGATGCTCCCGCCATGGATTTATAGCTGGAGATGAAAGCGTCAACGCGTCGAATCAAAATGGGAAAATAAAAAAAGTTTTGATTTGATAAAAAATTGCATCCTATCATTCCTTCGATATAATTATTTTTAAAACATGGCACGAGGCAAAATTCTAAGAAAAGCTCTGAGGTAGTACATGAAGTGTGGTAGTTAAGTTAGAGTGCAAAGGAATTCCAGAAACAATCTTCAAACAAACGCAAGAGGAAACCAGAAAACCACGGAACATCAAATGCCTCGCAAAGTAATGAAATAAATTTGAAACCTCCAGTGACATCTTCCAACATTCAAATAAATATGCGTTATTTCGATGGAAAAAGTACGAAATTTTATCACGTGAAACATTGTTCACAGCACATTACAGTAATGTCTTCCAGGTCTTGTGATACACTCGAACGGGCTAAATTTACATTTAAAACGGTAATAAACTAGAAAATCCCCTGCATCACCTCAATTTATCGCATGTACCACGAACTCGTTTGGAAAATGAAATCCTGTATACAGTACTTCTCAAATTAGAAAAGGAACTGAACCTTAGTGGGTCACATCTACACGGAGTCAATTTCATTCACTGATATTGTATTTTTAAAAGGAAATAATTCTCTTGGAAATGGATAATGAATTTTATACTAGTAACTCACTTCGAAACATCGATCCCTTTCGGAGCAGACGGTCTGGCAGCAGCAGAAGGTGTGGATCGTACAGAATCACTTTTCGATTTTTTTGCTTCGACACTAAAATAAGAATTACAAATTTTGAATGGTTTAAAATCCGAAAATGTCATCATCGACAACGGCTTACCTCGGAAGCACCATTGCTTTCCGTTTGAACGCTTCTCGCTCCCGAATTAAAGCGTCCATTATGACTTTCTATTTTTTTCACTACACGCACAAAAATCGAATTTGATCAACCCTGTGAACAAAATTACAGATTTAATTTACAGATTTAGTCAACGCAACCAAGACAATACATGAATTCAATACGAACATCCTTTAATAAACGAAGATCCAAATGTTTTATTCACACAAGCGAAAACAATTTCAAATGTTCAGATCTGATCGAGTTCAAGCAGTAACAGAAGAGAAGACGAACTCCTCGTTGTTCTCAGAACACAGCTGAACGCAAGAATCAATCAACGACGAAACGATAGGGACATCAGTTTCTTTCTCGTAAACATTTTTGAGAACGCTTGAAATTCTTGCTGATGAACCGGATACACGCAGGGCAGGAGGTGAAGCCAAGATGTATTTCGCCAAGTTGGCGAGAACAAAATCGTTCAAAGACGGCGAGGAACGGCGCTCATCTCCAGCGAAATTTATCAAGGATTCCATCAGCTGAAGAACCTTTTCACACGGCTGAGAACTGCATAAATGCCTTAAAAAAGGACAATAAACGTAAGTGTATTTCAAATGAGACCATTTACATCCCATTGAACAAAATGTAATTCAAACTCACTTTCGTAGTGATTCAATCTTTGGAGTTCGGGTAACGCGAAATATTGTAAAACGATTGTCTTATTTATCTTCACTACTGTACAGGTATTCGTAAGGCTTCTACAACAGCATTTTTCCATGATTACGTAGGTGTCTTGCTAAGATTTGTATGATTCACGAAGTCTAAAAGGGGCTAGTTCCAATTTGATTAGAAAATTTTTCATCTTCTCAATGATTCAGGCGACACCTACCCGACATTACAGAAAGCAACATGGGGAGGACGGCCAACAAAACCGTTGGGTGGGCGAGTTCTAGATGTTTCAGATTTTTTCGTTCAATTTAGCACAAAAATCTAAAATTAATAAATTATCATCCAATCTTTTCGAATTCGACCCAGGGCACAATCAACCCTTGTACATCCCCGAAACAATATTCTTGCACGCCAGATAAAATCTTAAAACCTAGAACCAGCTGGGAATCTAGGATCACCCAGGGCAAAAATTAGTTATTCATGTCGATAAAATCGCTCACCGAATCAATTCATAAGTTTACTGTAATTAGCAAGGTGGTAATGATGTATTTATCACATGGACACGAATTCATCCACGAACATTCAACTTTTCCAGACAACTCATAAAATGCGCTCACCCAATCATCACAGCTGAAGCGTTTGAAGAAGGAGAGATGAACTTCCTCGTCAGCATTTTTGCAATATCGAACAGAACCTCCGAGCCACAGCTTGACGAAAGGATCACTTCCAAGATTGGCTTCAAGATCACGTTGAAAACAACAAGGTTGTGTTGACATTCGCAAATATTCTTCAAACAGCACTGCAGACGAAACGAAACGGCCTTTCCAAGCACCTGCTCGGTAATTTCATTGAAAAAAGTACACATGAACTAATTTCCCGTGAAGGTAGAGAGCATAGTGGATAAAAGGTAATATGCAGGTGATGAAGTTGGCGCATTTTTCGGTGCTGAATATTTTGAATAATTGATGAAACGCCAACATAATTGTAATATAAGAAGAGAAGAAGATGAAAAAATGAAAATTTCTCGGCTCTAATTATACAGTACTTTAAAAATCCCACGAGGAACCCAATCACCCCTTAAATAACGTACGTGCAACAGTGGTAGGAATGCTCACGCACACACAAAATAAGTCCATATGCAGAGTGAACCAAAAATGATTCAGAGTAAAATTAAAATCGAACTTCTATTACCAATAAAATCAAGCCCCGCTAGAATATTTCGTGTCTATGAATCAAGAGAAACTTTTTTCAAGAATTGAACATTTCTCACACTAAATCAACTTTACGGTCAATACACACAAGCATAACTAACCAATGGCATGACGAATTTCGGCACAACACGCAAAATCACATACTGACGCTGGTACGCTGACAATCCAGAGAGGACGAAGTTGAGTACGTTCACGACACTTTCTGTGTCGCAGTTCTTCTCCAACACCGACTCGATCACTTCACACAAATCCGCAGCTCCATAATGGCGCGCAGTGAAATTAGCAGGTACTTTTCCTCCTTTCATAACAACCTCAACCATTTCGCGAAGATCAACGCTCTGAACCTCCGATGTCATGCTCAGTCATCAACTGAAGGTGCATAAATCGCGAGGGAAGCTCCTATTATTAATCCACGATATTAATCTTAATTCTCAAATATTTCGAGGTTTCTCACAAAGACAGACAGAAAGCAAAACTTAACGTACAGTATTTCCGTAATTCACGAGTATATAATGCGTCATAAGTCCTATATATCTTCATCCTCAGCTCCTGAAACTTAAAAAAAGAACTCCGCTGACAGAACGAGAAGCGTGGTCAAACAATACAGAAACAGCACAAAATCATCACACACATTTCGGTTTGACGGATTCTTGCTTGTAGCACTTTTTTTTCAGATCTCTGCAGAATAGCCTATGTATTTAACGCGTCTCGATATAGCACATCTTCCTGGTCCCGATGGCTTCGCTGTAACGAGATTTCATTCCAAAATCATGTACAGAAATTCGAGAAATATTTAGTATATCCAGATGAAAATTTGCGCCGGTTTTTCACATAGAAACTAAAATGTTTTTGGTTTTTCCTTAGAGCTCAAATTCCGCTTTGAATGTATGCTCAGAAAGATTTTCGATGAGGTAATTGATACTGGATTAACAATGCGCTTGAGTGCAAATTTTCGGACCACCTCATACATCAGTATTTTGCTCGTTTCATTCAATCAAAAAACTTAAGCAGACCATTTCTTTTTGTTAAACCCGGAAGAAGTACGTTAGGTTGAACTAAACATAGGGCACAACAGAATTCAATAAAACCAAGAACGGTTCTCAGCAATGAAGTTTCCTAGAATAACCGCCCGTTCTTCGCTGTCTTGAGTGACCAATGCAATTCAAACGAATAATGATCAAGCTGGAACACGGTGTAAAGTGACAGAAGAAAAAAATAATAAAAGTCGACGAGCGCCACGTGATACAGTTATGATTCAAGCTCAGGCAACACACCAGGTTATCGTTCATGAAGGAGAATTACAAAAGAAACACGACTTGGTCCGCTAAAGCTTCTTGTTCAGGATCTCAGATGTCAGAACACCACCTTTTTAGGTCCGCCACAAAAGCGTCGAATAGCACCGTACAGGAAAACCAAGCACATGACGGCGCGAAATTAATACTACGTTTGCCCGTTAATCACGAAGACGAAAATTCAACTTTTCACACTATCGTTTCGAATACCACTGAGTTTCGGTCTCACTGTACGGTCTAAAACCCAGTCGACGGAGTGATCAATGGGTTTCACAATGAATGGGATCGCACCCAGGCCAATCACTGTAGGGGCCCAACGCATCACACCGGGTGGCGCGGATTTAAAGCCCGTTTTCATCACAAACTGAGTAAGTGCACATAAGCGGTTGATTGTAAAACCAGGCACTATGACCGAGGCGAGTCCTTGCCACAACAACGTGTCAATCGCTGTGTGCGTCACGGTCGTCCCGCGCGTTGCCGAACCCTTCGCCGGTTTCTGAAAAACGTACAGTAGAAAATAATAAGTCGCGCCCAAATTGAAATTCAATGTGAAGATTAAAAAAAAGAACAGCATGTATACACTGTACAGTCAACCCTCAATTTAGTGCCATCCCCGCATTGTGCCGAACTTTTCCCTAGGAAAAATCTCCTTCCACTGTGTTATTAAGGGAAACCCAGATTTAGTGCAACAAAAAATTGTCCTGCCCCTGAAAGAAAAATTAGACGAATTTGGAGAAATTGAGGCATATTTCTAGAGATATCACTAGGTTATTACTGAGAATCACACGCCTATGCTCAGGATAATTTTGAAAATTCGATTTATGAACACATAAAATTGGGTAGTTCTACTTGGATGTCCTAGACAGCAAAGATCATCTCAATAACTTAGATAGTGTTTTTTTTTTAATTAAAAATCAATCCACCTGATCTTGGAACTGTGTGCTTTCATTTAAAGGTTGATACAAAACTGCAAGAAACAGTTCCACTCTTTTACTTGACACAATATGATAAAAAAAGCAAATATATTCCGCACCATTAATTGGAATGCAGCCAGAAAAGTTTATTAGATCCTCAAATTCTTCACTGTGGCTTTCTCTCTTATAAAACAGACTTCATGGCCCAACAATTCTTCAAGCAAGCCCATTTTACCACTACTGTAGTAGTGGCCCTCAACTAAACTTTCCCCTGATACAATACCCCCACTTCAGTGCCACCCTTGCTTAGTGCCAGGACAAATGAAAAGCAATAAATCGAGATTTCACTGTAATTTTAATTTATAAATTCATTATTTATGATCACAGTATAAATATTATAAAACTAATCTTTTAAAATTCGAGAAATTTTACTAGAATTTAAATTACAGGGTCCTTCGACAACTCGGGCAACCCAAGACTTACCGCGTAGGCTTTCCAACTTTTGTCGATAGTGTCTGCAACAACATATGCAGATGCCACGACGTAACTCGCCCACACCCATTTGACGTGCATCTGGGATCGAAACGATTCCCCGACTTCATTCGTGTAGCCCAGGAGTCTCACGGGTGTATCCCTGAAAATGTCAACTTCTTTCTTCTCCTTGTCTCCACTTCCCGTCATGTTGCACGAAATTGAAAAAAAAGAGAATCTCGGAAACAGAAGAAAAAACTGAAAAAAGTTCGTTGATCCACCTCGACTCAACTAAAGGGGGAAAAAAACCTCTCGGATAAAATTGGAGAAAATGTAGAATCCGCTGTAATGCCTAAACACGCGAATATATTCAGAGAAACTACATTCAAAGATGACATCTTCGAAACCCCGGAAACAATTTGCAAAACAAAAACAAAACTCTTTAGCCTTCCGATTTCTCGCGGACGCGGGACAGAGCCACGTACGAATTGGAAAAATCTTTGCAGAACCCGATTGGGCCTTTATCACAGTCAGCGCACGCCAAATAGCGGCTCGGAATAAAGGTGAGACCAACTATTTCCTTCGGCACGATCTTGGAAAAGCCAACGTTCGTGAACTTATAAATGTCGTCCACTTTCCAAAACCTCGTTTCCTCGTCAATCTTCCCCGCATCCTCCGCACTCGGCAACTGAACCTGTTCAACACACAATGCACAATAGTTTATCTCACAGAAACATGGAAATAACATCAGGTTGAATTTAAAGCAAGGATGCGAAGTCAAACACTCGAATCTTGAATCTTCCGGTTGTAGCGAAAAATTCATTAAAAAATGTGAATTGAATTCTAGCTCCAGAAAATAAGAGTCTGCTAGAAAATCTCAAAAACTGGCATTTGCTTTACAGTAAAACTCTTGAACTCAAGTCAACAAAAAAGATGCTCCCATTTTTCAGCACAATATTTCGTCAAACAAAACACATTTAATGGCAAACCGCGAATAAAAGCTCACTCTAATACTTGGTAAGAGAAAATAATGTGAATATTACGTCACTTCATATCTAATAATTGAGTGAAAACAGTTGCCAAATCCATTTCCAAAACTTGAGATCGTCAGTTTTCCATATTTGGTCTACAATATCTAGCTCACAATTCAACAGTATTTTGAATGATTAGACAACACTCCAATATGTAATGGGATAATATTTCCAATCTGTACTCATTTTTGAACACCTTATTCGCCTCATTTTTTGCTTGTGAAACTCGAAAAACATCAAATTGAAAAAGCCTTGATTTTTCAAAAACAAAAAATTTGCGTGTTACATTCGCTTAAATATATTGCTTGTAAATATCTAACCAACAGCCAGGTCCAATACTGATTAATAGCACCATATTTCGCTAGAACTTCAGTTAAAAAATAATAATAATAAATGCTTCCTGCAGTCGATTATTTCTAGAAGAATCCCGAAAAATTAAACTTCCGTTCGCTCAATTCTTCGAGAAACAGATGGCATTCTAGAAATTTGAATTTTCGACTCACCGGTTCGGAGAATTCCGTAAACACAGCGTTTCCTGGACTCAACACAATGGACGCACAAAACTTACACTGGGCACTGATTTTGATTTCATCACCGTCCGAATACGAGTTCATCTGCGGAAAAAAACCACACGAACAATCAACTTGGGAATACCAAACGTGAATGAGAGACGACAGCACGATTAGCGATGTTTCCAAATATTCATGTTTTTCTTCTCGTCCCTTCCTTCCATATACACAAAGTGATTATATAGCTTGATCCATGGAAAAAAAGTACACGTCGATAAATTCGGACAAAAAATCGGGTAGGGGACACAAGTATCAATCCCATATGAAGGCGATTTTACTGCGAGGTACCACGCTTGAGACAAACAACATTCCTATCCTTTTCCCATATTCAAAATCATCAAACGTTCGATGAGTTGGCTTGAACCCACGTACGCGAGAAAGTTCATTTTTAATGATCTTCTCTTCAGAAGCAAACATCCAATTGTCCTCATTTTGGTTAAACGTTCCCTTTCCTCAACACTCATACCGGTAACAAATCAAGTGCAAGCTACTTTGTCTGTTTTCCCCGGCTCGAAAATATATGATTATACATATATTAAATCGTAAATACATGGATGCTGTCATATTTCGCGAGCTCGCGAAAAAAAGTTTTCTTTGAAAAAAAAAAAAAACCTAATAAAACGGATATTTTTATCACAATGCGACTTTTCCTCGCTTCAATTGCAGTGCTTCGGTTGACCAGGAAGCACCGAAAATTTAGCCGAACGCTGCTCCTTTTTTAAATGAAGTTCCGCCAAAAAACAAAAAAAACATTGGTTTCGGAACTCGTGGAACCCAATACCTTTTCTTTTCCCAATCCGCATTTTTCCGAGAAGACATGTTCTCGCGGCGATTCGAGAGATTCGCGGCGTACACAAGGTTTGCATTGGAAACGAAAAAAAGACTTGTTTTGTTCCAAGCGCACACTTTTTTCAGCACCGCCCAAGGCTTCAATATTTCCGTCTAACAGAAAACCTTTATTTTTCTTTTTACTTCGATTCTTGTATTGGAAGATTGAGCATTCGAAAATTCGCATGTGGGTCAAAATTTATTAAATACCGGCCGTCACGCCCATGTTTTATAATCTTTGGTCTTCTGAAATTTAATAAGAACTTCGATGAATCAATTAATCAAACGTTTTCAAGTCATAAAACTACCTGATCAAAGTTCTCACTGATAACCACTAACCAACATCCTGTTATACCGGTCGAATCGAAAAGTATCAGAGCAAGTGGACCATGACATGAATAACCAATCCTCAAACCACAGGAAAACAAGACACGCGTCATTCCGACAACGCAAAAAAAGCTGAAAATTACTGGAACTTAATCCACGGAAATGCTCCATAAAAAAAGTGAACCACACACCAGATCCGTCAAGTTCAGAGAGTACTCATTTGTAGCACCACTTCGGGAAATGGGCATCGAAACTAGCGAGGAAAATGCTGAAAGACACACTGCACTTGGCACTTGCCAAAATCAAGTCAACTTCCGCAACCTTTGATAATGACGCCATCTATCAACCTTAAGTTCTCGGAATAAGATAATAAATGTTAATCAAACGATGATTAGAAATAATCCACTGGAGTAATGTTCGTTATAGCGCGTTCATTGGCGTATTCTAAATTATTTTCTTGACTGAGGGTTGAGAAGGGCTATGTTACCACAGCTCAATTTCAATTATAGGCTCACTATTTTAAAAATATAATTAAACTCGTACGAAATACCGAGTCAATCCGTCACTTCAAAAATAATTTTTACAGAGAAATTAGCTAGATGCTTTCTCTCATTTAAAGTCGGAGACACCGTGTGTACTCAGTCCACAACAAGCTTAATCCTTTCTTATAATCCCAAGTGAGTTCAATCTCGAAATTAAACACTGCAGTTCGAACATTGATCAATATTGTAATCCACTAAGCGAAAAGATCACGTCTCCGATTAGGAAAGAAAAACAATAGGATATAAAAGGATTTAGATACCTGTCGCTGTAAACGTATACTTAACCTCGAGAATCCGGGTCACTCGTTATTTTACAAACATTTACGGACATTCTCCGAAATCAACGCAAATTTTCAAAGAGAACTTTTCAAAAATCACGAAGCAGAGATCCAATACAGCTGTTTAAATTACAGCATTACGTTTTCAAAGATACCACAGGGTATCCAAAATATTATTGTGCAGTGAAAAGTCGGAGCCGTAGTGAGCTGAACATCTTGTTAGAGGAGCACGGAGAATAGAACCATCATTTTTGGAGAGGTTAACAAATGTTCAATAAAAATGTATTCCTGCTCACAGAAAAAATATAGTTTCAACAATTTTAATGAAATTTCTTATTGAACAAAATTAATTAATACAGCATATGCTACGGTATCTATGATCAGGTGTACTGTAATATAAAATTAATTAGAATCCGGTTGAATAAGTTTGGAACTAAAATTGTGAATACAGCACTAGTGGCATGCAACAGCACCGAAATGCGACTAAAACGGACATTTGAAGATTCATTATTTAGCGAATTAATTTTCTCACTGCACGAAAACATTTTGGATATCCCACATTCACCTACGCCGGCAACAATTTTTGGCATTCAGATTCAGTTCGTTGCGATTTGTTTTTGGGGATCATGAATTGGGGATCCTTTGGACTTTCGGACAATCCACGAGCTACACAAACCTGAGCAAAACAAGATGGCGCCACCATCAACCGTAAGCTACAGAAGAAACTTCAAGGAATTCTCACAACTTCAATTCCGAGCAAGTCGCGCAATTTGGCTGTATACTTGACGAGGATGACGGTGTCTCCAGTTTTCGGAGCCTTTTTCATGGCTGCCGGCGCCGTGGCGCCCAATCGACAACAATGCGCCCGCGCGTGGAAATCTTCCAGGGACAGAGTGAGAAGTTGGGCGCGTTCATCTTCGTCGGCGGCACGCGGACTGCGTTTTCCCGATGATGACGACAGCAATCGGTCCAACTGGTCCTTCGTCTTGAGGTCGAGACGTTGCAGAACTTCTTTCAGCACCAGGAATTTGTCCGCATCATTGAACGTGCTGCTGCTGCCAAATTCTGGAAAACGCAACAAATGGTAACACGTGTGAAGAGATGCGAATGGAAAAGACAGGCGTTGCGCCGCATAAGGGCGATCCAAAAGTTTTCAAACGCAATCGGAAAGAAAGCATAGAAGTACAAGAAGTTCTGCTCATGAAATAAATTTCTAATGTCTGAACAACTTTCATGATTGAAAAATATTCCTGATCTATCTCGAAAGTCAACAATCGAAACCGATGCTTGAAACGACTTCGAAATCGACTGAAAAGTAAAACTAAACCAAAAATAGCTATTTAAAGCCAGAACTAGCTTTAAAAAAAAAGTAGAGGACACGATGGGCCTGATAAACCCTCTTCCATCCATTACGGTATTACTAAAATTACTAAAAATTACTACGTATTACTAAAAATTACTACGTATTACTAAAAATTACGGTATTACTCAACAAGGAATCGATCGCCGAAAAAAGACGTGTGACAAAACATTGCTGGGATTTACGTTTGCAACTACTATACATTACAAGATTCAATAATTCAAAATGAAACTTTAACGGAAGATTCGCAGGTCATCCATTGATTGCCCTCTGACACCTATATTTTTTCAAGTGGAAACAGTTCTTATTCCTGGATAATTTCATATTATAGCACCCGAAGTGTCCACCAACCGTTTGTTTTTGAAGAGGGAGCGCCATTCGTGGACGCCGATTTCCCACGCAAGCGTTCCGAACTAATTTGAAAAACGTCGAGAATAGGCGCCGAGCTACATTCAACGTCGAAAGAAAATTCTTCGGTTTCCGACGTTGACGGCACAACGCTGAATATATCACAGCCTGGATTCACCGGATCTGCAAAAAAAAATTGAAGTTGAGTTACATCTACAGTATTCCAACTCCGCAAAACGAAATTTCTCAAGAGCTGAGGATGGCATCTAAACAATCATCTTCGACCAACATAAATGTAAAAGGATTTCACACCTCAGGGTCACAGACGTCATGTTCTCTACACAGAAACTCGTGTATAAAACCTTAGCTCTGCACAAGAATGTGACTTGCTCATTCTGTGACACAGAAACCCTCAACGTCGTTGTTTACCATCATTTAAAACAAAACAAAAATTAATGTTCAGCCAAAGATATGATTTACGGTACGTATTCACAACGTCCAGAAAGTCTTCAGAACATTTCTGCGCATTCCACAGATTTAGTCACTCGAAGGAAATTACCTAGGCATTTGGCAGATCCATAAAACGCCCACGCGTTATTTTCTCCCAGTTCAATCCGTCGCAAGTCCTTGCCCTCTCCCGACTCTCCGTCTTTCTTTCTTTTGCGCTTCAAAAGTTCCCCACGCCGCCGCAATTTCTTCGGCGTCGTTTGACAAGATGACGCGGATTTATCCTGGTTCTCGTCAGTCGAAGATTCCGGATCAGGGCAAACCCCGGAAACGTCAGTCAGGTACCGTTGCAACATTTCGTAAAGCTCCGGATGTGGTTTGGCCAAAGCCAACGGGCTCAGACCGGAGTATGTGGCCAGAGTCGGATCAGCTCCGTAAGAAAGCAATAGTCGAACGACTTCCGTGTGACCATTTTGAAGCGCTTCGTGGATGGGCCTATGAAAGAGCGAAGAAAATTAATAATTCCGACAATCGGATATCAGTGTCATTCACAAGTTTATATGAAGGAATTACATACAAATCCGCGGTCGTTGCGTAAGTATTCAATAGGGATATTTTTTTCCAAAGCGATTTGTCTCGATGAATAAAAAATGCTCCACTTCAGCCAAAAATGCGTTTCTCCTTGAGTCACTCACAATTTACTAAAATTTTCTCCACACCCTCTGGTGATAGATCAACTGATGCAAAGAATAATTAGCCTAAATTTCTATGCCACGGTAGAAGGAAAAAGTGCGACTGCGAACTTCTGTTTTATACCCCTGGGGACGCACTAACATTTCGCACGATTATTTCAGAATAAAAAATTATTATTAAAGCCAAAATGTATTTCTAAAATCTTGGGGAAGACGTGGCACAGTAAACGGGAATAATTTTAAAAATTCCAGGACATTTCGTAGCACAAGATATCACATTTTGCGGATTTTTTTTTTTCCATAGGCAGCAAGAAGTTTTTCAGGGCACTTTTCCGAAGAAAAGAATGCAGCCTATACGTGAGTCCAGCAATGATTTCTTTGCATCATTTTCACGAGTTCCCGAATTCGCATGCTTAGTTGAATTCCAATTTTTTTCGTTAACAGATAGTGAGACTAAGAATTCAAATGCCCGCCTCAATCTCAATTCTAATGCAAATGAACGTCAAAAGGACGTTGATCAAAAGAATACAGGAATCAGAAGCGTGGGGACACGTCGCAGATCACTTAGGATTCGCGTAAATTTGCTATTTCGTTGACTATTGTGAAAGGGCCTGAATTTCTCGTTGCACGGTACTTGCTATTTTGTCAAATGATCAAAACAAGTTTATCAACTCAATGTATGTGATACATCAGTCCACAATAGTTGGACTACGAAATTTTTGTTTGATAGAAAAAAAGTGCTGCAACTTCCTTACCTGATTCCACCCTGAGAAACTGCGATGTTGACTTCTGCACCAAATTCCAACAACAACCTGGCAAGTTCCAATTGGCCTCTTGAGCATGCTTCGTGCAACGGGGAGTATCCGGCATTATCTTTCCCGTCCACATCGCAAAGTCGTTCTTCCACACAATACAAAGCAATGTCCTGGAGAAAGAAATATTTACTTCAAGGTGTAGATCTCACAAATACAGTAAAATGAAAAAAAAAATTATGAACCTTCTCCGTATAATCAACGCACGGTATCGTACAGTATTCCCTAGACTCCTAGAGTACCACGCGCACGATTGCCCCCCTCCCCCGGGGTAAAACGAGATGTTAGTCTTCGGTGAAAAAATGGATATGAACTAATGTTTTTCACCAATCCTATTTCAATGTTCCTTCATTTAATTATAAGAAGAATGCCACCCAGCAAATTTACGGGCGTATCCATGGAAGGGGAAAATTGAGCTTTTTTTTTTAATCGCAGCCGAAGGCGGAAATCTTGAATTGCTCTTCTTGAAGTGGCAAATAATCATTTCGTTAAAAAAAATCAACTTTCAGCAATCGAACACTGGGATGCGTAGATAGATGGGAATAGATTTTGAGTCAATTTTGCGCCAAGAAAGTCGGGGTGAGAGTCTTACTCGAGGGCGCGTGGTACTCGAGTAAATACGGTGATTACGGGTATGTGTAGCAAACAACTTACGTAATAACCGAGACGAGCGGCACGGTGTAAAGGAGTTTCGCCTGCACCCCGGTTAATGACCCAACTCTTGATTTCTGCCTGGATCGCGTCTCTCAATGGGATTGCGTCTTTGCGCAAACCAGTGCATTTGCGAAAAGGACTGTTCACCAGAGGGCCACCACCATCACCGTTTCTATCACAGTCGCAGTCAACTGACGGAGTCGCCTTGCAACTGCCGGTGCACTTCAAAGCGTCTTTGGTCTCCTCCAGCTTCTTCATGTTATTCATGAATCTCGTCGAAAAAACCTGCAGCGTAAGATATCCGTGAAGTAACGAAGACTGGTTCAATCGAACACGAGTATTTAATTTTCGTATTGAAACCTACTTTGAATGCAATCGTTTCGTCATTCGATACACAATTGAAAAATATTGCTTGCAAGAGAACTCAAGGCAGATGTGAGAAATCTCAACTTTCACCAACAAGTAAAATAAGACCATCAAGCATTGTTTTAATGATCTTCGAGAAATGTTCCTTAAATTTGAACATTCTGTCATGTTATTTGATTATCCATTACATATATGTCGCCTAAATATCTTTGCGCATTACATTACTGTACTCTGTCGTCGAACTCAGCACTATGTTTGGCTAGCGACTCAGGTGACACATATCCGACATTCCTCAAAGCATGAATGGTGTCACAAAAATAAATTGAAAAAGAACTAAAAAATTCTTTTCACGATTGATCTGTGAAGCCCGCGTCCAACGCAGTTTCCCATAAATCTTTAAAAATGTCTGACACCACATGAAATGAGCACATGATCATCAGTTAAATTGAAGATGAAGAAAAAAGCGAAGGTTAACCATACCGTCTGATCTTTGCTCTTCATCGGCAACTTGCTGGCAACAACTCCCTCAGGAAGCGGTTTCTTCTTTTTGGCCTTTCGCATATAATCAAAACCGGATCGATACTTTCGACGATTCGGCCGTCCACGTGTTTTCCGCATTAAAGTGAAGCCAGGCGGAAGACCGTCAATCGGTCGGATTTTCACGATTTCCGTGCCAACTTTGGTATCTTTTTTGACGTGGGATTTGAGAGCGACGATAGGCTTCTTGCAAGACCGAGACAAGTTCCGCGGCTTCATGTCCAGGTGCCTCTTTGATTCAAGACGCGATCCAAGCTTCCTGCCCGGCTTTTTTCTATCCGGCGATGTCTCCACCTTATACAAATATAAATACTGGTATAAAATGACTAGGAGATATTTGTTCAAATACTGTACATATCAATATTGAATCACGGAAATACGAGGGTTGTCCCAGTTGGAAGCAACCTCTGATATTTTTAGTTTAGACGCGTGGCACAAAACGTTCCAAGTTTCTGAATTTTTTCCGAATTAAAAAAAATGTTAAAACTTCAGAACATTTTGCGATATGACTTGATTTTCTCTTTACAGATATCAGGGGTCGCCTCGAACTTGGACAACCTTCGTAATTTTGAACATCGAAAGCAAAAAGAGCAATTCAAGATTTTCACATTTGGCTGCGATTTTAGAAAAATGCTCAATTTTGCCTTCCATGGATACGCCCATAAATTTGGTGGGTACAACGAAGTTAATGCATGAAATCCCTTGAATATTGAATCAACGCAAGACACAAGTTCTCACCGGAACGGATCAAAGCTGATCTGAATGATCGTTTTTTTTTTCATGTGAAACAGGATAAAAAATAATTACGATTCCAGCTGGTAAGTCATACTCCAATGATGTTCTTGAGTCCAAACTCCGGAGAAGAGTTGAACGAAAAGCACGGATTACAGGAGTTTCCCAGTTTTTTGAAACTAGCTCAGCGAAAATAAAGTGGTCGGGCGACACGAGAATATGTTTCTAACGCGAGTGAACGGACCAAGAGTTGATCTACACTAACCGGATTCCGCCTTTCCGTTGTTAGAACAGCAGCAAGTTGCGGCGGCATTTTCAAGACACGAGTTCGGTATTCCACATCGTCTTCGGCTTTCCTGGTCCGGCCGACATCGTTGGATGCTGGATTAATATTGGAGCTTCCCACGGGTTTCGCCTCGTCCTCCGTCCGTCGTCGACCCAACTTCCTGCCTCGCCTGACCGTAGAAGAGTCATCGGCATCCTTGTTGCAGGAATCCGCTTTCGCGGTGTCCTGATCACGTTTCATGCGCTTCTCCCTTTGGTCGCGCGACAGAGAATTGCTGTCGTCATCATTGTCCGTGGATCGTCGTCGCTTGAGTCTTTCTTTTCTGGAAAGGCTTTCTTCGGAGGATGTTTCCTTTGAGCGCATAACGGTGCGACGACCCGGGGGACGACCCGGTTTTCGCTGCGGAAAGAACCCCAATGTTGATTGAATCGCGTAATGCCAACCAGAAATGCAGCAATTCTTTTTCAAGTGTCATAAAGACGTTCATAAAACATTGGATACAGAATTCACGCTGATGCAGAACGAAATTTTTCCGACTTCTACTCACGAATAACACGGAGCAGCTTAGAATTAAGTGTGTTAGCTTCTCAGGTTACTTTCGGCGGTCCAAAATTACGCATCCATAATAAAGATCCAGTGAACCATGAAACATATTAAAAGCACTATGATACGTTTCTGGTATGATCTGAACTAAATACTGAGAAATACAGTATGTCATTTAAGGTTACCGTATATAGGTGTGGATACCTACGTATATTTCTTTTTTTCTGGGAAGTGTTCGTCCGAAGTGACGAAGCATCCATAGTACAAAAATGTACAGTATTTCTAAAAAATATATCTTCAAAATCAGGAAGGTTTTAAAAGTGAAATTACATTTTGATATTTCATTCATCAACGCGAGCACGTGAAGCAGTGTACGAAGATTTAACGACCCAAATTCTAAATACTGTAATTCTAAAACTTTCAAATGGGTAGAAATTAAGTTTAAAATTTATGTGAAGTCTTAAACATCAAAGGAATCTCATGTTCGAGCTGAAATATGATAATTATGTTGAATTAACCTTGATTTGTGTGGTATTGGCAACCGAAGACCGCGTCGTCTTCCGCAACGCAGCCTCTTCTTCCGTCGTAGCGTCTTCTTCATTTTCCGAAGAAGGCACACGCCGCACTCCCTTTGGTCTCCCTATTCTCCCAGTCTTTTCCGAGGCCTTGCGCACAGGAAGTCGTTTCTTCTTCGCGTCTCCCGAGTCCCGGTCGTCGTCTTCATAGTTCTCTTCGTCTTCGTCGTCGTCGTCGTCATCATCATCATCTTCGTCTTCATCATTGGAGGTCGGAGATGAGGCTAAACGACGGGACTGGCGCTGGGCACGCGCAGTGGCTCCGGGTCGGCGACGAGTCCTCGGCCTATGCTCAATTGATGACGCACTCGAAGAATCTGATTCGGAGGAACTCGTCGCGTCGCTTGAAGAAGTGACTGCAGAAGATGACTGCGCGGAGTCTTCGTCGTCTTTCCAATCATCGTCTTCGGACCCGGAGTTCCTGATGATTAAATAAAATGAGTTTAGTAAAGATATGGAAAACAAAAATTGTCAAACAATCGGATTCAATGAGCCATGTAAAAAAAAAGCAGGACAGATTTCCCTCGAATCCATCTTCCGAAGATCTTTAAAAACGTCATTGATCACAAAATGAAAATTCCATTTTTGTTCCTCAAATGTTCCAATGCTTCGCGACTTATTTCCGAGAACGGTTCGTGGAATAATCTGGGAAATATCGTCCAGATTTGAGAATCTAAATGTTAAGAATAGGATACCGTAACGGCAGAAAATAATTCTGAATTGAAACCCTGAATGGATTGCACATTCATTCGAAGATCAACTTACAGCCCTGATTTCCCAAGCTGAATTTCCAGGTTTATCTCTAATTACACATCATTCATGCATAAAATCACAGCTGCTGAACAGATACATTTTCGCTGGGTCTATTAATACAATATAGAAATTTTGTGAACACTTCTGGGACTATTTTGAAAAAAAAAAGATCTTATTCCATGGGAAAAAAAGACTCGATGCGAAAAATACAGTGATTCTGTTTCCATGAGAAACAAACACGTAACGTTTCTGAATCTTCATATGAAAGGACTAAAATATTTTTTTCTAGATTTTTGGCGAATCTCACCTTTTAGCTCTAGATCCTCGCCGCAACGAATAAGACGAATTTTCAGTTTGACTCCGTGACGGGCGTCCTCTTCTTCTTCCTCTGACGACAGCTGAAGCACGGGTTGAGACTCCAGAATTATTCGTGAACGATGAGGGCTTCCTACCTCGTCTACTAATTCCTGAACCCCGACGAGCGGCTGAAATAATCAACAATAAAATACGCTATACTTTGACATCAATTCAAACAAGTCCTGTACTGGTGAATAATAGATTTTACTAAAGTTTATCTTATCTTCAACCATTCTTCCAGATAGAGTACTTCAAGAACAGCTTCGACCGAATAACTGCTCTGAATAAAAATGACCTCACCGAAGCATACGAACCTAAATCTCTCAACTTAATTAGAAGACAACTATACAAAATTTTGGACTGGCGAACGTCGATAAAAAATTTAAAAAAACCGCCAAGGAATATCAAAACTGTCAAATGAGAAATTTTAATCACTTTTCGTGGTCAAGTAATTTTTTTTAGCAAAACATCCAGACAAAAAAGTTTTGATCTCTATTACCGACGCATGAAGAGTTAAGCAAGAAAAATTCAAAAACTGAATTACCCGCTTTATGGTTAGCATGAGGCTCACTTTCGCTATCATCTTCCTCTTCTTCGTCTTCCTCATCTTCGTCATCATCTTCTTCAACTTTGGCGTCTTCATCTTCATCCTTACGTTTCCTTCTGCGCTTCGGCAAAACAACGACTTGTTCCTCTTCACTCGAAAAGTCCGACGATTCAGATTGCTGTTCCTTTTTGATCGTTCCATCACCATCCGAGTTAGAGAAGTCTTCATCCGAGCTCAAAGGATCGTTCATCGCAATCACAACGGTAGGCCAGTCCTCATCTTCATCCGGTTTTATCGAACACAAAGGCTCCATCGACAGCGGCTCCGGCTTCACGTCCTCTCCAGAAGCTGCTTTGAACTCGTCCTCGGAATCAAGATCGTAATGCAATCGGCTTTCTAACTGCCGTTGAATTTCCCAAGCAAACATGTTCAGGGGTCGTGGGTGTTCCTGTGGCGGGAAGGGTTCGCCTCGTTGGGTTTCCAACGAGGCTGCGAACACGGCTAGGGCACGGTCTAGCTTTTCCACGCCGACTTTCATGGAGAAGAAACGGCAATGTGGCTCCGTCGAAGGAGGCTGCGACGAAGGCAAGGCATTGCTGATTGCTTTTTCTTCCACCACTGGCTTCGGGACGATGGAGTCTTTCGGCTGTTCTTCTGCTGATGGCAACGACTTCAGCTGGTTTTTCTGTTGCCCGGACGGCGCCCTAAAAATCCAGCAAAAATTTACAAAATTAAAAACGATTCCAAAAGCAACGATTCAACGATAAGGTCAAGAGCACGATTTGCCGGTTTAATATGCACACGAGATGTCGCTCGAATCGCTGGTCAACCAATTCCAGCCGGATTTGATCGAACACGACCAAATAAAACTAAGGTGAATGAGAAGTTGGAAAATTCGCCGTTAGCAACCCTAAGCTCGAAAATATGATGGTCTAATAAAATTATGATATTTTCGGGATTTTTCAATTCCAATTTTGTTTACAAGTACAACAATGTAATATTGTTTCATAGCTAGCCTTTAAAAGATGCAAGGCCTCGACAAAGAATATCGCGAAAAGTGACGCCGAATCCGAGTTATGGCCAAAATACGATATGGTTGATTAAACACGAAGCACAATAGGGGCATTTTCGCAGGACACGACGCAAGTGTTTCCGGGCTGTCGTGTACATGTCGTCTCAATCAAAAACATAGCCAAATCTAATCAATAAAACCTCATCAAAACTAAATGTAAAATACCGAGATCAGATTTGAGCGACATCCACGTAGTGAAGAAAAAATCACAGATTTAGGATACCGAGGGTACAACAGGAAATCTGCGTACATTCAAAACTGTAATTTAAGCGACTGACCGTAAAATAGCAGCAACAGGACTTCTTCGCTTGACGTGCTCCAAATGCACAGGTCGTACGTTCTCAGTCTCCTTAAAATCGAACACACCCGCAGCGTCCCTGGAAACGCTCTGGTCACTTTGAACCGGCGCCACCACATTCTCCACTCTCTCGGTACCACAAACGCTTGGTCCCACAGGCTCTGACGGTACATTCGCGGGTACCATCTGCTTCAGGGCGGCCTTCGTCCGAACCTTCAACGGCGGCGCTGCGGCCATTTGATGCATCAACGACGGATTCGGCATCCGCGTTATTGTACCCTCCTTCACAGGGTCTTGTGGCAAGCGTACCGGCCAACCCACCTTCTGCGGCTTCAGGCTTTGCACGACGACAGGAGCTGTTGGTCGGATTGTCACAGGGGCGCTACCCGTCAGGCCGGCCGGAATGTGGATCGCTGTGCTGTAAGCCTTCGTGACACGCTCCGACGACGGCCCAGCCATGCTGCTGACCGACGGAGCAAGGGGTTGTTGAGGCGGTGCTTGAGACAGCGGCTGCTGTGACACAGCCACACGCCCGGGGTTGTATTGCGTCGTGGGGTAACCATGGAATCCGTTCGGCCGCACGGTAGGAGACCATGTTCCTCCTCCATTCATCAACCCTTGTTGCGGCTGATGCTGCGGCAGTCCGCGCCCAAATGGCTCCGTCGAATCAGCAGTTTGCCTTATGATTTTCACGGTCAAATCCAAGGGCGCCGCGTCACGACGGATCAACGGTGGTGCTTCAGAACTGCTTGTAGGCACGGTTTCCGGCGGTCTAACGACACTGACCGACGACGCTGCGCCACCTGGGAGTCCCATTTGAGCCCGATGATGACGCTGAATGAGCTGATAGTTCGGTCTTCCAGTGAGGGGATCGATGTAAGGATTGGCGTCAGCATTCGGCGCGGGGACTGGTCGCTTCCGAATCGGTACCGCAGCCTGCAACTGTGGAGAAGGTTGCCTTGGTATTGATGATGAGGACGATGATGATGATGGCATCCGGATGGAATAATTCTCCACGACTGAGACTTCGTGCTTTTGCATTGTTTGCTGGTATTGCTGACTTGCCGGAGTGATTTCTACCCGTACTGCATTCGATTCGTTGACAGGCCACGGCGAAATGCTAAAAGCAGAACAAAATAACATGTGACTGATGTTCATGACAAATTACAGCAAATCATTAATCCAATTCTATAAAACCAATCTTCTCTTCTTTGGCTACAATGGTCCTCGTCAAATTAAGCTTTTCATCGGAAAATCTCGAAATTGCCCTTCAGACAAGTTTGTGAAGTGTTCAAAAATAAACGTAAAATAATTAAAAACCTCCCATAAAGTGAAAGTTTGCTTCAAATATTAACACTATTCAAAAATACAGACAATTGATTTGAAATTCACGCGGTTAGCAGTCATGGATTACGCACGATTTTCAGAGAATTTTATTCCAGACAGAGCAATTATTTATTCAAGTTGAAGATTTTCAACCTAAGATCAATAACCTCATCGTAGTCTCAATTCCGGAGTGCACCGAATCATAAATAAGCTAAATCAAAATCACGTATTGGTCAGCAGAACTGAATTCCGTGACGCTTAAGCGAAAATTTAGCATCTAGCTGAATTGTACGCAAGAAACAGAAGTACAGCACATCCGAGAAAAACAGAGGTACCAGAAAAACGTCATGATGCGACACAAGTGCGTAGCCCGGGGCTCCACGGAAATACTTAATCAACGTCGGATCCAGATTTCAGAATTTCATTCTGTACTAATTTGCATATTTCATGCATGAACGGATTGAAGCTTACCTGTGCTTTTGTCCCATTTTCGGACTCGCATACGAGGTCGAAGGTTTCATCACTGCCATGCTTCCATTTTGAACATGATTCTGGGCATGCGAAATCGGTATCTGCGGAGACGGCCGATATTCCATCGACACTGGATGCCTTGGCCGGACTTGCTGCATTTGTTGACGAACTTGAGGCATTTGAACAGGTGCTTGTCGCGGGTCCTGGAGTCCAGGCTGCAACTGTGGCATGGGTGGTGCCAGAACTTGTCGCGGGATTGACTGAGCACGTTCCGGCATGCCATTTACATGTCTGTGCATTTGCTGGTTTGGGAAACGATGCTGATGAATGTGGGAGGATTGATAATGATCCGTCGACTGCATCGCATGTTGTGGCATACGCTGCAATTGCTCTTGATGAGGTTGTGAAATCGGTGCTTGGAGAGATTCGTGGCGCTGCATTGGCTGCGGTAATCGCGATTGCAAAGGGAGAGAAACTTGCTGTAAGGGGAAACGCTCCTGGTTTTGAATCGGCGCTGGCGGTCGATCTTTCCGCACTTGCGTCGGAGCAGGGGGTTGATAGGAATAGAACGAATGCGTAGAAGTGGGAGGATGATTGTACGACGCGTATGCTTCTTGAGGATTCCACGATCTGTTGGATTCACTTCGATCCCACCGTTGTACCGTATTCGCCACAGTTGTTGGCCAGGGACGGTAGGCGCTCGAATGAGGACCATGGTTTTGAGCCTGTGATACGCCTGCCATCGTCGTGTGCGACAACGGAGGAGATGGCGGAAGTCCAGATTCGAAATATCGCGTAGTAGTGGGAAGACCGGAGAAAAACTGACGAGTGCCACGCATGAGATGATTCAGGCCCGCATCATGGTTTGGCATCGGTTGGTGAGGCGAGGGCTGCGGGGCTGGTGGAGCAGCAATGGGCGAAGCCTGAAGTCTATGGTGATGATGGATCGGAGACGGGATAGGAGCGGGAATCTGTCTTCCCACAACACCAGGATCCATCTTCGCATCGAATGGCAGTCTACACAAATTTTTAAACCGTTAATTATTCGCGAATTTCAACAACACGGAAGGATTCTCAAACGAATCTACAGCTTCAAACAAATCAAATACAACAAACGGAGCTTAAAATTCATCGTATCACACATCTTCATTATCGGACTGAATTCTTAATGTTCTCGTACTCACGGATGGACTGCACGAAAGACACGCTCAAAGTTCCATGCTGAACGTAAAAGTCGGGTATCACGAAGAATTCCGCATCACGTCACCCTGGTCAGCACTTTCAAATGATTTTGCGTCACTAAAAAAAAATAGCGCGGGTCACGAACCCCTCACGCAAAAAAACGTCCCGTATCACTGCGATTCCATCTGTGGTTCTTCGTCAAACTGCAGAAAGACACAGAAGACATTAATCAGTCCACGATGTACTCCAGAACTAACGCAATAGTACAGGGAAATACATTCTTGCACCAGTTATAATCTAAGCCTTCCCGATTCGAAGCACTTAAAAACTGATTTCTGTCCTTCACACGTAGCAAGGTTCATCATAAAATGGTCAGTGATTTACAAAGGTTGGTTCTAGAAATAATTCATGCTATAGGCACATTCCCACATCGGTGAACCTCCCACAATTCCACAAAACCCCAAGTTGCGATGAGGTCAGAACGCGCATTCCACTCGTCAACAAAAACTGAGATTATTAGCCACCAGTCAGGGCGAGAAAGCAAGTGGTGAATGCATCAGATGTTACATCAAAGTTATACACACAGAGCGAATGTAATGGAACTTAATGAGTAGGTTAATTCAGTAATCTTCCACCTTCAACTCTATATTGAAAACTTGATTTCACTGCAATACTTATTTTAAAAATTTTAAACTTCAAATTAAGAACTTATTCGCAGGAATCACGCGATTCGGGGATTGACTTGCAAAGTAATTTTTCATGCTAAGGGCACTAGATGTCCCTTTCACCGAAACCATGCACCTACCAGTCGAGCCCTAACATGTTGACGTGCACGGAGGCGGACATTTAACCTATTTTTTCTTCAGGGTTTTTTCAGATTCACGATACCAAAGAGCGTTGCATCTACTGAGGAACAGCTGTTTCACGTCGTCCTGAGAATAAATTGACATTCCTTCGTATCAGTCACTAGATGATGATGGATTAAAAACACGAATTTACGTAGAAGATATTTATTTTCAATTTCCATCAACACGGAGAACAACTTTTGAAATCTATTCGCCTTGTACACATTCAAAAGTCATTCGTAACCATCAATAAGCACATTGAATGCTTCTATGGACTATGGTTGATGGGTTCAACCACTCACGACCGCCACTGCGATCAGAAGAAGAAAAAAACAAAAGTTCAGCTAACTTCTGCTGCGATCATTTTCTTTCTTTTCACCTCTTCGAAGGGACCAAAACAAAAGCAAAATACGTTGAGCAGTGAATACCGGTGCGCGTTTACGGTTCGGGATAACATTGATCTTCTACTTAACATTTCCCAGACATCACAGCGAGCCGAAAAAAAAATTAACGAAACAAAAAAGGTCGACGCAGTGTCGATACGCATTCCAAGTAGACACCACATACAGCGAGATGCAAATTGACGGAGCGAGGCTGCGACGATCAGCATGCGCTCAGCGATCAAAACCCGACTTTCTTCTTTTTGTAAACTTCGTACTTGAACTCCACCCCGTTGTCCTCTTCACCACAAGTGCGAAAACCAAGAGCTTTGAGGTCCTGTATGCCGGCTCTGCGGAAGAAAAAAGGTACAGTGATGCCCCGGTTAACAGACGCTTCGCGTAACAGACCAAGCTTCGGATAACGAACACTAACCGCGCACCAGATCATCATCTCCGACGAAAATTCAGCCCGCTGTAAAATGAAAAGTAGCTCCCAGCATAATTTCTTTTTTATCAAGGATTACAGCTTTCTTACGGCGTAATAGACAAACTTGTTTTTCTTGTTTTTGTTTTTTTGGACGTTTCTGTTGTTCGTTTACGCGTCAGTAATGAAAATGACTATAAATACTGTACGTTTCAGGAATTATGTACAGAATTTCAGGGACTTGGTTTTCACAAGTTTGAAAATGTCGCAAATCTCAATTCATGATTAGTAATGTTTGGATCTTTCCAGTGGCTTGAGTTAACGTCTTCGAGGGCATAAAGATGAATATTATCATCATCATGGGTCATAAATTTGTTCCGCTTCCTGAAACTGAACTAGATTAGGAGAGTTCTGCTATCTTGTCCCAATTCCATGAGTCCTTCGTTCGGAAAACTAAATTCAAATTAATCTTTTTCCAATTACAAATCTGGGAAAGAAAAGATGAATTTCGTCGGGATTTTCCTCTCTTTTTTTTTCGTCATCCTGGCGAACCAGACAAAGAAATTTTTCGGAAATTCAACAGAACTTGACCATATTACTCAAAAGTTTAAAACTTGAGATGAAGCAGGCTGTTCGGCAATTATAATTCTAGAGGAGCGCGGAATTAATTAGGTTAAACCGCGCATAAACCCTTCCGATTCTGTCGAGAAAGCAATTCGAAAATGTTTCTCCGGTCATATTTTTAAAATGTGATGGTTCCTCCAATGCAACTGAAACCACAGAACTAAAATAATTTTTCATCAGATCAGACTCGCAAAAATGATCCGCTATTTTTATTTTATTGAGATGAATACATACACTGGAAGCTGATCCATATACACACGGCAAAAAGGAACAGATTAGGTTAAAAAATTAAATAAATACGTACAGCGACAGTTCGAAGTTTTCATGCAATCCAATTTCGTCCGCGGGGAAGAACACATCGCAGTCATACTCCTTGTTGATGCGGGTCAAATACACGTATTCGCAATGAGGTGAATTCCCAGCAACCTTCAATCAATGATGGAAACAGTGGCATTCAATAAAAAAATTTCAACTGGCACGACGGGTCTAAAAAAGAAGTTCTTGTTCACCTTTTATTATTTGTGAAAACTCGTTTCTTGGAGAAAAATTAAAAACGTCAGCTCTGGCGCTTGCCAGTGACGACATTGAGTGAGTTTAAATTTGAACTCACCCACTTAAAACTCACTTTCGTCTTATATTCAGTTGAATATTAGACACCATCTGGCATCAATTAAAATAGAAACCTTTTTTCTTTCCGTTTTAAAAATTGGAACGATTTAGCAACCGAATTTAAGATGGAAAATTCGATTTCTGCAGAATCACTCAGCCGGTGATTTTTCATGCCAAGTTAAATCACTCCGAACACTTCTGATCTCAACTAAGAGCAGAATTTGCTCAATTCAACGTCAGACGCATTGCAGTACCGCACACTAGTGAGACCGCTAGATGCGGACGTAATTGGTGCACCAGGAGTGTCCCTAAGTTGAGTCTTGTTTTAACGTACACTTACATTATATAATTTTTAATGCGTGTTTTACGGAAGAAATATTCTTCAGAATTCCATGAAAAAAATTGTTTGTCAATTGAATTTGATTCAGTGAATATCTTTTCAACTCTAAGAACATTTAGAGCATTGAATAATATACCTTTGTACAGTATATTCAAATTTTGGCAGCTGTAAAAATAACATTCAAGTCACATAGAGAGAAGGAATTCCCTCTATGCTATAGGCAATTTTTTTCAATTAGCCAAATGGTTGGGAAAATTATGGGAGAAATACCAAAATATTTTTCTTGCATGGATCTCAGGGTTAGAAATATCTGTTTCTTGCAATTAAGCCTAACAACAGTCAATTTTCTCTGCACGTTAGTGTTAATTTTATCATGCAATGTCCGCATGTCGATCAGTGTCCATATGTCGGGCCTTTTTTTATTGAAAAAATAAATGTCCCTACGTCGAATTGCCTGCATGTTGGGGTTTCACTGCATAATCTGTATACACTGTAGTGCGTCGGTCAGAAGCAATAAGAGGCACTTGCGATTAAAAAAATCGTAAATGCGGCGATTACTTTTTTAAACCGTCGACTTTCTGATAAGATACAAGTACAGTACAGTACATTTTTTTACGTAGGCCATCCAAGATATTTATCGTAAAAATTTCTAGGAAGTAATTTTTCACCTCGTACAAAGAAAATCCTCCAATGATCCAAATGCGTTCCAGGATACGGGAAATTTCCAGAGAACTCAGGAATGTCAACGCTTCGTCCCACGATTTGCAAACTTTCAACAGCCCGCCACTCCAACCGCCAAACCCTTCGTCTCCAGCTGCCATGGATTTTTGGATTGAAACATCAAATGTGTCAGGCTGAATGTTGAACACCGGGGAAGACACGTACATGCGGCGTTCACGAATTCATTGTCGCAAAAGTAATTTGAACTCAGTGCTGTGTCCATTGTTGATGAAATCACGACGTTGATCCTATTCTTCAGAGGTCGGTGTTGGGGTGGGATCCCTTCCCAGGTTCTGCGACCCATGACGACCGCATTCTTCCTCGACGGGTCCTTCGTGGTTGTCGTAAGGGTTTTAAAATAGTGCATCTCTTTCCTGGGATTAGATAAGAAAACGTGAAAAATCCAAGCACAGGTTTTCGCGCGAAGTACAGTGCGGGGAACGCACTTGGGTAGCCTAGAAAATCAATTTTCAGTGATACATTTTTGATAAATACATTAAATGGGACTCTTTATTTTTTTTACTTGATCAACGAAAATCTGAACTACTGCATCGTATTTACTCAACGACGCGCTTTTTTAATAAATTTGTTTACAAAAAAAATACGTGCGCGTCATAGTTGGTTCAATCGACATTTTTTTAAATACAAAAAATTCTCCACCCTTTAAAATTTCTTTTAAGCACGCAAAATTAGCTCCACGAAGTGCGAATGAACCAAAAAAATAATTTCACAGTTTTTAGAAATATTCGAAAATTACTGCATCAAGGTTTCAACTCACGGTAGGTTCCAAGGAAGTTTCCCGTCTTTGCCCATGCCCATGTTTTTGCACGCAGCCACCATGAGCGAGAAGCGCAGTTTATCAGGATTGAACATAACATCCATCTTCTCGTTCCCCTCACTCATCTATCACACATTCCAGACATTCCCTGAAATGAATAAAAAAAACGGCAATAATATCAAAAAAATGTTTTCGTTCAAGTTTTTTTGTTATGCACTGCAAGCAGAGTGAAATGATCAGAGAAACACAAGACGCTTTTTTCCCGTTTACAGCTTGTATTTCACTAGAGGTTCCCCAGCAACGCCGAGCTTAGACAAAATACAAAACGCACTCCGCGGAAGAAAAAAAAAAGGCATCTCAGAGGACCCATCAGCCACCTCAAACAAGGGGAAATACTGCTAATCCGAAACTTTGATCGCACGAACACTAAGTCGAAATCCGGCTTTATTTTCGACCATTATACATACATTATAGCTGCAAGATTCCCCCCCCCCCACCAAAAATCGGGCTTATTTACGATTAAATTGTACTGCGTTTCCTCAAAGTAGGGTTTGTAGCAGAAAAGAAAAAATACGTGATTTTCACACGTCGAGGACATGAAACTTCCTCTAAAACACGGAAATCCCTGGATGACTCCAAGGGATAAACCTTGAAGTAAAAAGTGATCACGTGCATAAATTTCATCGTTCTACAGATCATACCAAACAAATATTTTAAATTCACGTTCTTACAGTAGACTCGTTCACGTTGATATTCTTCTTAAAAACGGATGTAAAAAAATTTGAATTACAAAATGACAATTTCCAAATCTGCAGATGCTGAATGCGGCTCATTTTTCGAATTGAGTACATTTGGCGGAGATGAAAAATTTAAATCCGGCAATTTTAAAATCTGACAATAAAATTCGCGTCTAACTTTCATTTAAGCGTCAAAATAAAAACTAGCAGCTAAAAATTCCAACTATATATTTCGACAAAAAACCAATAAAAATTTTTTCTTGTCATAAGAAAACACGGAATTTGCAGAGAAGCCCTTTCTCGATTCGAGAAAAACGTGATACCAAACATTATTTCAAAAGTTCATGACTCAATATAAAATGGGTAGCACAGAAAGTTTACGCGAAAATTGAACGCAGTAATTTTTCAAGAAGAGTCGAAATATCGCTTTTTTTATGCTTGATGATTTCATCATGATTGGATTTCGGTAATTTGCGCCACATGATATGCAATCTTTCCAAGAATAGAAACCACGGGAACGGTTTCCCGAAGCTGCAGCGATTGCTGTGCGATGATTTTAGAAACCATCCACACTACCATCGACACTTTAAAAACACACACACACACACCACCCGTGCGTTGTGGACGAAACAACAGTCAAAGCTTTGCCAAACATTCGCGAGAGATGTCAAGACACCACAGAGAAAAGCCACCATACAGTATCATCAACGAACAGCAAAGAAGTCCATGTTTGATTCTTTTGAGATTTTCTCCCCATAAAAAATACTTGATCGGTGAAATTGACTTCGTGTCTGTACAACACTCAGAAAATATGTTACAAGCACTGAACAAAATCCTCTTCTCTTTTCTTTCTTTCTTTTGTCTCTCACTCTGTAAAACAGAGTCATTTTCACTTCTCTTTTTGGCTCCGAATGCGTCGACAGGAAGACGAGGGGGTAGAAAAAACCGCATTACGAATACGAACACAATTTGGAAGGAAGGATTGCAAGTTCCAATAACCCCAGCCGGGTTCGTTTGAGCAAGGGACAAAAATTGTCGCAAAAATGTCGTCGAAAGGTCAGAAAAAACAAACAAATAAAACTTGAACAAAAATACCAACTGAGCAACTCTCACGAGTCGCGGCAAGAGCGTTTTTTTTTTATGCGGGAAGCACGAGGGCGGCCCGTCAGATCAGTTGATTTCGAATTGATTCGCGGTCATCACGCTCAGATCTTTCATGAGGCCCTCCAAATTGGCCATCTCTTGCGAAAGTTCTTCGGAACTCAATGCCGGCTGTGAATTGAAAAGAAAGCTTTCATTATGACCAGAGAATCGGAGGATACTGAACTTCGGGTCTTTTTTACGGAAGCATCGAGGTCAAATAATCCCCACACTTCCGTCTTTCTTCGCTACGCCGTGAATAATTTTAAAGAGGAGGTATTCAATTATTAGCCCCGAATACTGTATTTGATGAATCACGAAACATATGACCTTTTTATTTATGCCTGGAATACTTTCATTTCATTTTCCACTAATTTCCACCCTAAAAGCAGTACTGTTCTGCTTTTTGTGATTTTTTGGATAAACATTTTTTTTTTTTTTTTCTTCGTGAATATTTCATCATATTCACACAAGTAAAAAACATTCAAGATTCCACAGTTTCATCACAATATACTCGAACAGGTGCAGTTCATACAATTATCACGATATGTAAAATATGGGAATACACGTATACTGGAAGTTGGACTTCGTATATTCAAACTAGACTTTTTTCTCAAAGCGCCGGCGCTATTTGAAGCTTTAAATTAGGCAAGAAATGCAGTCTTTTCAGAATTAAATTTTGAGAACAACTCCTTACAAATCATCCGATTTAAATCCGTCCAGTAAATTAATTACATTGAATTAAACAAAGATGGTATCATTCAGCAAATTGTAGAAACTTAATTTTGGGAGAGTTTTCATAGCAGGCACTCAAAAAAACTTCCTCTGGGAGTTAGGAAACAAATTCAACAAATTATTTTTGAACTGGTATTTCCTGAAATTAAAGTTTATTGTACCGAAACTAAAGCCTGCACAAAACTGAATATTCCTCCCTAACAGGAATGCAGTTTTCTAGGCTTGGGGAAAACAAATTTCAATTAGTTCACCTATCGATGAAATTTCAGTAAAATTCACTCACTTTCAGGCAAGACGATTTGGTTTCTGCGATTCGCGGGTTGACAACATTGACAACAGCGCCCGACGTCGGGGTCGTCGGGGAACCTGCCAGGGAAGCTTGACCCATATGCATGGCACCCGCACCCGTTGACAAACCAAACGGACGCACCAACATGGGAGCATTCGGTCCATTCGGCCGCTTGAACGGACTGCTCATTTGCTGAACTACTGGTCGCACTAGGAAGGTCATTTCGAACGCAAAAAAAAGCAAAATACGAAAAATGTATTCGACGTCATTATTTTCCCCCATCGGAATGTAGAAAGAAAAATGGTACAATACTATGTCCACAATTGACAGATTCTCAATATTGGGGACGTTAACAGTCGTTCAATCAAGTACTGTATGCACTTCATGGATTTTCCCCCGTGAAAAATGAGGCTACATGATATGATACATTCTTGTTCCTGCTTAATTTTCTGCTTCTCCAGTTAGTGAACTATATTTCTCCATCACCATGACTTTAATTTTTTCAACAAAATACACGCGGAAAAAGTAAGTACCGTTATTTCTTCGATCACCACGCGTCCTTGAATAAGACGTGCACCTGATTTTTTGGTCCTAAAATTTGGCTAAAATCCCATCACCGAGAATGACGGGTACTTCGTGTTTAGTCAATAAAAACAGACAAAGGTTCGAAAATAAAATTAATCAAAATTTTGACTTGAATTGAACTCAAATCAAAATCAATTTATTTTCAAATGTTTCAATTGAAAATAATTCTTCATTGAAATTCATTAAAAATTTTCCATAAGGATTAAGTATTATGAGCATCCGAGCTATAAAAAAAATGTGGAAAATTGCATCGCCGCTTATCACTCGCACCATCTTTTTTCCGCTCGATTTTGAAAAAAAAAAAAAATGGTGCGCATGGTACTCGATTTAATAAATGGCAATGTACCTCGTACTACTGTTGAAAGTAATTCAAAATAATGTGGCTAAAAATGCGAAAACAACCAAAAAGACTCACCAAACTGCTTTGGTTGTGCCACGACGGCCTGTGGCAAGGGTGGCGTTGTAGAAGCCAGACTCGACGACGTAGTGGAGTCCCGATGACTCGGCAAGCTTTGGCACAAGGAAGTTGTCGAAGAAGTGCACATGGGTCCTACGGCACCGCCGAAAGTTTTCATTCCATGCGCTTGGGGATCATCTCGGCAGCCATCGTCATTTCTACGCGGGAATTATGCAAAAATATGTTATAAAACAGGGCTTCTCCCTTCCTAGATTGTACTAATTCGAAGACATGACAGTACATTACATGTTCGATTACTTTCACCAAGTATGAGATGACTTTTCCCATAGACTAAAGCCGTCATGATTCAAATAAAATTCCGTAATTCCATGCAAAAGATACTGCATTCGACTTCGAAATGCCCTTAGATCAAATTCCATTCAATTCCGTCTTTAATTTTCATTTTTAACGCAAATCATTTAATAACTAAAAAAAAAACCTCATACACCATCAAAAATACTTTTGCCTAATAATACGCGGGATCTTTCACGAAAAATAGATGGCCGTTCAATCTCGACTTCCATTATTTTTCCACAATTTGAATAAAAACCAACTAAACGTGGGTACTTATATTCTACATGAAAAATACAATATTGATTTCCCAGTAGATGTTACAAGCACAAAAGGGTGAAAAAAGCCTAGATGGTTCGATAAAACTTAATTACGTCATTTTACCTCAATGATACTGATTTACAGCTTGAGATATTAAAGCAACTGACGCTTAAAGTGCCTGTGGTTCTGAATCAAACTTCCGCTACCCCTTCAAAATTCTTCGAATTCATAAATAGTGACCACGTTTGCAAACAACTAATTTACTTGGCAGAGAAAGATATAAATCGGGATGAAATTGCCTTCCTAATCAATTCATTTCAACCAAATATCACCTCATTGATGGCGTCCATTGCGCGAGGCCGGTGGTGGCCATAAGGTTGTAACCGGGTGGACCAGTAATGACTTGCGGTTGCTGAAGCATATGGCTCATGCCAACATTACCCAAGTTATTTGCGTGTACTTGTACCTGATCGCTGCACAGCACATCCACTGTAAAAAAAAAATGCATTCCATTAAAATCTTCGGATTTGAAAAATTCAATAATCAGAAAATTGTCAGCGTACGCGCCACTGATTTAAACTGTCTGGATGAAGGATAAAGGGATTCAGAAAAAGGGTGAAAGATCAAGAATCCCAGAATTTAGATAAAATACTGCGAAACCGATAAAACAAAAAAGGAAACCACGTCACCAAGTTTTCCCTCACTTTTACGACTGCATTTTCAACTGAGTTTCCCATACATAAGCGGCATAATTAGATTGAAAAACCCGCCAAAAGTAGAAATTTTTTGCATTGATTCGTTTTAAAAAAAATATTTAAATACTCACCCGGATGACTGAGCATGTCGAAACCTCTCGACGACGACACGGGGACATTCAGCTGAGTCCGGGGGTACATTATACGACCCCCGGGAACGTTGGTTTGAACACCTTGGCTCAGGTCTCCAGTAGAAATTGTTGTCGCCGCTGAAGATATAAGATGTAGACAAAAACACTTCCATAAATTCAGAAACAAAAAGGCAGAAAACACTGGAACAGGGTAACAGAGAAAAATAAATCATTCCCCGCGTCATCGAAAGAACTGTACATGATCAACCTCACCTGTCGTCTTTACGATCAGTTGAGGTAACGGAAATCTATTTGAATTAGAGATCAGTTGTTAATGGGAAACTGAAAATCTTCCCAAGCCTGTACATAAATTTGAAAGGCTTTCTTCCTCAGGAAGTAAATTACAGTATCCTACTAACGAGAAACAGCATACAGTACTGTAATAACTTACGTACGACTCGTACAATTTTTTCCGCTCCTCAAAAACCGGGATTAGGAATGCCGTATTTTAACTTGAATATCCCAGAAAATCCAAAGATTACAGCACAAGTGATATCAGAAGATTCGACGAAGAATTTATAGGAAGTTTGAATTTTTATTACCCGATTTTATGAAGGGAGAACAAAACCGCGCATTTAACTGTGATTTTAACCAATTCAAATATCCATAGGAATGTTGGAAATACCATATCACTATCAATTTATATCATCACAAGAGAAAAACCTCATCACCGGCTTTAATTGTTTTCGTGTATTCGACTATTCGAGCAAATTCAGCATATCTAATTTTTTATTCGATCATTCGTAAGCTTGCATTCAATTTTTGAGCAAATCTATACGGTAATTAAACAGAATATCACGAAGTTCAGGCCAAAAAAACCGTACGCATCGCTGGCGCAGAAATTGTGCATCTGGCCAAAAGCCACTCGTGAAGTTCACTTCTCCATCTTCAAACTTCATCTGACTGTACAATATTGTCCAAAACTAGAGTTAAGGGCATACGATTTCATGATTGTTTTTACTCGAGTACCACGTGCACCTTTCTTTCCCGAATTTCAAAAGAAAAAAAGGGGTGCGCGTCATTAGCGGGTACAAAATTTTCAAGAAGTTTTCTAGGAAGTACCGTATTTATTCGAGTACCACGCGCCCTCGAGTAAGGTGCGCACAGGGGGTTTTCAGTTGAAAATTTTGGTACTTTCCTGTTATCTCAGTACCTACTTTCCGTGCACCTA